CCAATCCAAATCGAGGTCGTAGAAACGTATTCTTTATAACGGTTACCGAAAGGATCGTAGAATTAATTAAGGGATAAACTACTATCGTTAAAACTTTAGAGAAAATTAATAAGGATTACGCAAAATAATATAAGAAATTATATAAACCTAAGGAGCTCGAAGTTGGTAATTAGATTTTTTTTAATACGAAGAATATTAAATAACGAAGGTTTAGTATTAAATTAATAAATAAATTCTTAGGGCTTTTTTAAATTATTAAGGTCGTTAGCAATAAAAAGATAATTTACTATTTTATTTTTCCGGAACGCTATTATATTTATTCGGTATTCCTTATTACTTTATTGGAACCGTACTATAGCGATCCTAAGGTAGTAACGCCGCGAAGAAAAATAGTAGATATCGAGGACGATCTCGTATAATATAAGGTAGAAACGATTATAAAATATTAAGGGTCGGGAGCGAATTAGTAGTATTAAATAAAGTAGAAAGGGTATTCGGATAATAATAACGAATAAATATTATAAAAGGATTTAAATTATTTGAAATTATTAAAGGAATATAACGCGAGGGAATTATAAAAGAGGAAAGCCGAAGGAGGCCCGGTAATTAAATTAATAAGAGTGAATTAAATAGTTAATAAAAGGAAATTAAAACAATTAACGATTGTAACGTATTAATAATTATAAATTATTAGTAATGATAACATATTTAGAATATTAGACGATTATAATATATAGCGTATTAGATAATTATAATATATAGAATATTGGACGATTATAATATATAATATATTAGATTAAAATTAGGAGAGTTATATTAAATAATCATAATGTATAATACATTAGATTAGAATTGGGGGAATTATATTAAGAAGGCAGGCGACGGCGTGAAGATAGAGGGAAGAGGAATTAATTAAAGAATTATAGAAGACGACGAATTAGGAAACGTAGTAACGTGCCAGTATTTAATTATTAACTATCTATTAAATTAATATTCTTCCCCCCAAATAATAATACTATTAATCAAATAAAATTAAAAAATTAAAAAAATAGAAGGGTAAATATTATAATAACCGCTTAATTTAAGCCTTAAATCCGAATTTAAATTATATATTAATATAGGAACCGAACCTATTATTTTTTAAAAATTAGATTCTCGTATACGACCGCTGCGCCTATTAATAAATAATTTAAATTTAAATTTTACTTTCGTTTATTATTATATTATTAATTACTAATATTCATATATTCCTATTGTAGGGTTAAAGGGACGCTTTGACGGGTAGTAAATAGTGAATATTAGTATATATCGAATTTATAGTTTAAAAGATATCCGCTAGATTAATTATATTTATAGGAGTAGTAAGAGCTACTAGGAAAGTAGGAGTTACAATGTTAAATTATTTGCTGTCAAAAGTATAAATAATAATAGGGGTAATTTAACTGGTAGGGTAACTGTTAGTAGGACGGCGGAAATTATAATATTTTATTTATTTATTAAGGTAATAATTATAAAATTCGGAGGGTATTAGAAGAAAAATATAGAAGCGTTCGTAGAAGATATAAATTTTAATTATTAAAGTATTGGCGGAATTATGGAAGGTAATAATAAGGGTAAGTATAATATTATTTATATTTCTTTTATAAGTAGCGATTACGTTCTTTTAGAATATAATTATATAATTATAGAAGATTGAAAGGAAATTGTAAAAGCGCCGGTTTAAAGTTTTAGGATACGCCGAATACGTATTATTATTTAGAGGAATAGTTTTGTTAATGTTAATATTAATAGAAAAAGAATAGGAATTTAATAGATTTTATTAAGTATAAGTAAAATAATTTATAATTAGGACTATAATGGTACCGGTACCGTTAGGGGGTAGGTTGGTAATAGCGTTCGTAATTTCTTAAGAAGAAATAGTATAAGGCGGATTGCGGATAGCGTTATTAGACGGTTAGTATAAAAAATACGGGGCGGTAAAGAAAAATGCTTATTAAAATTAAGGGTGGTCGGATTTAGTAAGGAGGGCTAAATTATAAAGGGTATACCGGTCGGCGGGGTTTAAGAAAGCGGTTATAATAGTAGTATAAGTACGTATATAAGTTTATACGAGCGAAGGAGGAAGAACAAGAGGAGGAGAAGAGGGGAGGGGGGAAAGGTTTTTATAGTTAAAATTAGGAGTATAAAATAAGGTGGAGTTGGAATAAATAATTAAAGTATACGAATACGGGCGTTATTAAAAGACTTTTAAATAGGTTAATTTTAAACTATAGAATATAAGAAAGGTAGTAGGGGAAGGCAGTAGAAGGGAATAGAAAAAAGGTAGAAAGTGTCATAGCGCTGCCAGATATGTGCCAGATCACATGCTTACCTCTGGTCTTTCGTCTCATGTCTCGTTGCATATAAGACCTTCGGCTCCATCCTATATATAGACTAGCTTCTTCTCTTCTTTATCTTTAGTTATTTATTAATAACGTTAGATTATTTGCGTGTCTCGACTGCTAGATCCACATGCGTGACAGAAAGGATAATTTGGAATAAAAAGACAGTTAATAAGCGTTGAAACGGTAATAGGGAGGTAAAATATAATAAGACGGAGGGCGGATAATTTAGGTTTAGGATAGCGGCCAGTAGAAGATAAGGAAATAATAGACGGTAAATAGAAAGTAATTGAGGCCGGCGGAGAAACGAGATTAATAGGTATTAAGTAGCGGGTTAATACTGGTATAAGAATAAGAAGAGCCAGAGAGGGTAGCGTTTTAATAATAGTATATTCGGCTATAAAAGTAAATTACGGAAGAATAGTAGTAGAGGAGCACCGGTAAGGAAGCTACTAATATAGGATATTTATAGGTTTTTAAAATAGAAATTTAAGAGACGGGAGATTATATTAAATTACTAGGAACCTATTAAGCATTGGACCCGTACTAATACCGAAGAGCGCCGATATCTGTATAGTATAAGCGCTATAGTATAGCGTCAGAACAGTTCGGAACCGTCGCGAATTTAGCTATTATAGGATAGAGTTTGCAATAATATAAATAACTGCTCGAATTCGCCTCCAAAATTATTAGGGTTAGCTATTAATATATTTTTAGTCCTCGCCCTACCTTAACGTCCCCTACGTACTTGCATTGTCCGTAGGCACCTTAACCTACCTTCCTCTACGATCTTGACAAATATATAGTAAGAAGCAGGCTAAAAAGATTTGTAGAGAGAATACCTCATCGGTTAAGTTTATTCTAAATAATAGGGGTATAAAGGATGTGCTTAATAAGCTTCTTACTATATTACGGCATATTTATTTAACTGGGCTAAAGTTAAAATTCTCCTTAACGCTATACCCTCCTAAGAAGAAATTTAAGAAGGAGAAGGAGAAGGCTATCGATATAGACTTTAATAAAGAAGCTATAGTGACTATAATAGTAGCTAATAAGAAGTTGGAAGTACCCGTACGATATATAAAGGTAATAATTACCGTAAACAACGATTCTAGCAATAATAGGAATTTATAAAGGGAGGAGGAAGAAGAGGAGGAGCTAGACATTGTATTGTAAAAGTCTGGCGCACGGGCCACAAGGCCTTTACAATACTATAATAATATATTACAACATTTTAAAATAATTCACTTATACTGCTAAATGCGTGCAATTGAGACGAACAATCTGAATCCTTTGCCATCTTTTTTACTTGTGTTTTGGTAGAGAAACGGATTGTTGAAGATTCTGGCCGTTATAGAGCTTGCACGTTACATGTAAAAAATCCGACTCTCAAAGGGACGATGAGAGTCGGTTGGCTAGCTGTAAGCGAGACCCCCAGAGGGTGGACTCCATACCTAACCGACGAGTATTTGGAGCTTTCTTCGTTTCTTCGGACCACCTGCCAATGTCATCCACAAAGGCGGGCGCAGAGCCCCCCGTGGCTTGCACATCATACCGTGACGGGCCTCTTCCGAGGTTCCGTGTTGCAGCCCTGGCTTCCCCTGTCAGAGCCTAGAACGCCTACGACTACCGAACTGTCAATCATGCTTCGATACACTCGCGAACCTTGACATGACTGACGGATGAACCCCACGGGTATGAGGGTTAGACCGGTATGGGGTAAGTTTTTGAGCTGGGCGAGCTCTCCTTTCTCGGAACCTTGATACTGTTGGGAGAAAGTTCTCTGAAATATGTATGAAATCTCAAGTACCATATGGGGGCAATGTACCCCCTCGGTAGATACCGGGATATGTCAAGGTAGCACAGCAGGCGACAGTCATCAGTTGACATTCCACAGCTTCGTCTTCAGGAGGCTGTTTTCGAAGCTCACATCAAGACCAATCATCAACGTTGTCAAAGCCACTTACAGACTCGCCAGGCGCTGTCCACAACACGTTGGGAGAGAGTGATCTCCGATACAGCCCGACGATGCCGACATTTGTACGGCCTTTCTTCGAAGTCTGACCGCAAGAGTCAGAGGCCAGAAGAGTCTTTGTATCAGCGAGAAAGAATTTATCGATAAGGTCCAGATGCCTCTGGAACCTCGCTGCCTCGCTGACGGCGTCACGGCGGGAGGGAGTCCCGTCAAGGGAGACCGGGATATCCGGTGGATTGGATCTCGCTGAGATCCACTGAGATCCACTGGAATCCGTCGGCTCCACAGGTCACTGTCGGGATGACACTGACATGCTTCTGTGCCTCAACTCTAAATGTATGACCTAGAGTAAGGCCTAACGTCTTAACAGTTGCGCTTTCTGACAGTAAAATTGAGTGAACGTCTCCATGTCGTACAATTTCCGGTGCTTGATCAGCATGATAAGACGGATAAAAGATGAAAGTAATCAGATTTTGAAATTGGATCGAAGAGTTAGATGGAAGTCTTTCATCGTTGACAAGAATGGGAAGTCAAAAGAGGGGTTCCGCTGTTAGGGAACCATCAGCATTAATCCCTGCTGTCTTGTCTCACTGCCACAACCCTGGATTGGCCACGGTCATTGACTGGAGACCCGTCGAGTTACCCCTCGCTTTCGACGCCTTTCTTCCATTCACCTGTTTCCGTTTGTGCTTACAGGTAGAAACCATGACCCGACCCGGAACACGACTCAAGAATGGTGACCACACCATTTCCCGACTGGCGGTCATCCTTGGCTGGAATCCGGATGGATGATTCAGCCACGGCTCCATCCGCCTGACTGCCGCTCGTGCTGATGATCAGCACACTTCCACTTACAGCTTGACGTTCCTATCGCCCCCCACCCCCCGCACGTCGTAATCCTTTTTTTTCCTTTTTCTCTTGTCGCCTTCCTTTCGAAGAGCATGGTAACCTCTTCCCCTCCTTTTAAATGTGACAGGTATCTCCAGTGTTCAGAAACAGGCACGTACAACTAATTAGCAGCCGCCGCCTGCTCTGCCGTCATCATCATTCCTACTATCACAGCATCTCCGACGCCCTCAAAAAGTTGTACAGTCACCTTCTCGCCAAGAAACGCACCCCTCTCCCACCTCCAACCATGGCCACCGTCGAGCACTGTCTCTGCTGCTTCGAAGCACTCGTTGCCTATCATGAGCGTCGCAAGCCCATGAGCCTGTCTGAAATCGAAAAGTCATGGGCCGAATACATCAACACCATTGACGACGACGACGACGACGACGACGACGACAAAGAGGCTCCTGTCTCCAGCAAAGCCCCCCAGATCCCCGCGCTCCGTAGACTAGCCGCGGCAACCTTGCCCTCGTCGTCGACTTCATCATCGACCTCCCTTGCCACAAGCATCAGCACGAGCAGCACCAGCAGCAGCAACACGACCCTCCAATCCGGCATCTCCACGCCCGCAACCTCCATTGCCTCCTCAGCCTCTCCCGCACCACCAACACCCGTTTACGAATCCCCCCTGTTCGTAACCTGGAACGTCGTCGTCCAAGACTCGGATGATGATGATGACGTCTCCCTCCGCGGCTGCATCGGCACCTTCGAAGCGCAGCCTCTCTCCTCCGGCCTGCCCTCGTACGCCCTGACCTCGGCCCTGCAGGACACGCGCTTCCACCCCATCGGCCGGGCCGAGCTGCCGACGCTGCAGGTGGCCGTGACGCTGCTGACCGACTTTGAGCCCGCGGCCGACGCCATGGACTGGGAGCTGGGCAAGCACGGGTTGCGCATCAGCTTTGTGTATCGCGGACGGCGGTACGGGGCCACGTACCTGCCGGATGTCGCGCCGGAGCAAGGGTGGACCAAGGAGGAGACGGTGGTGAGCTTGATGCGCAAGGCTGGGTGGGAGGGAAATAAGTCGAGGTGGAGGGAGGTGGAGTTGAGGGTGGTCCGGTATCAGGGGAAGAAGGAGAAGTTGGGATTTGAGGAGTATATCGCTTGGAGGGATTGGGTGGATGGGATGAGGGGGGAGTGAACGTTAAGAGGAACCTCAAGAGGAGGAGCTGCATGGAGTTATTGGGTTACGTGGATGGAAGAGCTGCTTTGGTCCAGGAGTTATGGTGTGGAGTATTGGTAGACCGAGGTGTTTGGCGTAGAGGCATAAACGGATATGGCGAAGGGAAGGAAGTACGCGCGTGACGCATTTTCAAGGAAGAACCCAAGTAGGAACACAGGACGGAAGGTGGAAATCACGAGCGGCGTCACGGGAGTCTAAGGTACACCTGGATGGAGAGGTTCATACACCTAGAGAGGTATTTTGAGGCCCCTGCAAACGAACGGAAGACACTGCAGCTGAGCGACAGACATGGAGTTATGATAGACGGACACAGTCAAGAATAGAAGAATACGAGACAACAGAACTTCGAAAATCAACAGTCTCGAAAACCCAAAGTAAAAAGAGGCACGATCAAAAAACTGCATTTACCGCTTCATTGTTCAGGTTCGATAGAGCTAGAATCTGTTAAACTGCTCAAGATATCAGGCGCATTTCATGAACCAATATCTAACCATCCCGTTACCCATATACACCTCACTCTCTCTTTGCCATCTTACCAAGCATGCGCAATCCAACCACAAGCAGCTATCCTTCTTCAGCTTAACATTTGCGATGTTGAGTCAAGAGAGCTTCAACAACGCAAGACAAGACCAAGCAACGTAAACAGACACGGAAAAGGAAATAAAGAGAACAAGGACATAACGGAGGAATAAGACCAATAAACAGGCAAATAACCGCCATCGCGTGGTATCTTTCCCTTTCTTGAGTCGTCTGGTCTGCTGCAATAAACAAACAGAAAGAAGACATGCTGAACCGACCGACCGACCGATAAACTCCAACCCCACGACTCCGGTCCCATTCCTCCTAGTAGTAGCCATGAATAGAAGGGTGAATCAAGGCCCAGCCCTATTTGACCCCAATATCCATCAAGTTTTGCCTAGCAGCATAGCAGCAATGAACAAAAAAGAAGCATCAAAAGCGTGAACTAAGTAAGCCAAGGCAATCCAACCGGAAACAAACAGAGCAGGAATCCATGCTCTTATGCTAACGACACCAGAACTTCAAACTCTTCAAAAACCTACTCGCCCCTCCTCTCTTCCCTTTCCTCCTTCCACTCCCACCATCCTTCTCATCCAACCCACCCTCCTTCCCGCCCTTAGTCGGCAACGGACTCAACGGCTTCGTCCTCCCCCTGCTACTCCCAAGTAACTCCTCCGCCGCCTCCTGATCGACGCCCGTGATGCCCAACTCGGCTAACCTCCTCTGCTCCACCACCCTCCTCACAATCAGCGCAAACGTCTCCTCAATATTCACCTCCAACCTCGCACTCGTCTCCATGAACCCGCACCCTCGCGCCCTCGCCCATTCCAAGCCCGTAGCGGACGTTACCACCCGCTTCTCCGACAAATCGCACTTATTTCCCGCCACAATCTTCACCGGCGGGATCGCCTTGGCCCCCGAGCCAGCTCCCCCGCCCATGTTCGAGCCAGTAGCATACCGATTCGACATGCTCCCGCTTATCTGCGCCGGAGATAATCCCGCCCTGCGCGCCCGCGCCGCGTTATCCGCCCGCGTCTCGGCCTCCATGTCGATCAGATCGTTGAAATACTGCAGCGCGTCGAGGCTGTCGCGCGACGTGATGTCGTAGACCATCAGAAAAGCGTCGGCTCCCAAGTTGGACGAGGCCCACATGCCGCGGTACTCTTCCTGGCCCGCCGTGTCGGTCAGAGATAAGTGGTAGGTGACGCCGTCGATGCGCCGCGTGATGGAGTAGCTGTCTTCGATGGTCGGGTCGTAGTCTTCTGTCCATTGCGAGCGGACGAGGCGCAGGGTGATGGAGGATTTACCGCAGCCGCCGTCGCCGCAGATGGTGATGGAGATGGGGACGGGTGGCTGTTGGGATTGCCGCGTGCCTTGGGTGGGGGAGGAGACGCCGGCGGTGCCGGCGGTTTTGGCGGAGCCGGTTGAGGCTGAGTGCCCGTGACTACGGGGTTTTTGGGATGGCATTTTTTTCTTGGTGTTTTGGTTTTGGTTTGGATTTTCGGTTGGGAACGTGTTTGCCCTTGTTTGGTGATAGTTGGTTGATGTAACTAGCTGGGGAAAAAGCCTTTCTAGTTATGTATGTGATATTCAGATGGGATTGGAAAAAAGGGGCTGCTTGCTGTGCCCGCTTTGATATTGCAATTGAATAAGAAGTGGCGAAGTAGGCTTATCCTCAGGTAAATTTTCGAAAGGAGGGTCAGAAAAAAATGAAGATTTGGGGGGGGGGCAATCTGAAAGATATTTGATGGTAGACGAGGACAGCTCCGTATAAGAGAGGGGTCGGTCGGTTGGGTCGAGGTGGGTTGCAAGATAAACAAAGTTTGGGTCGAGCCTAAAAAGGAGGGGTGGGCGCACAGGGGGCCGTGTTCCTGGTGAGTGGTGGTGATGTGATGCAAGGTGGGATCCCTCCTTTTTTCCTTATTTTTTCTACCCCTAGGTGCGAGCGCGTCGTCGCAAGAAAGTTTGGTTCGACGTCACGTTTGACGGGAAACCAGGAAGAAGCGAGAGAGTGGGGGCGAAGTCACGCCGAGAGGGAGACTGCAAAAGGGACTGAAAAAAAGAAGGTTGTTTTTAGTCCGATATGCTGGTTGTGCAACTGCAGTGCGGTGCCGTAGAAGCAAACAACGAGCGAACGAACGAGCGAGCGAGTGTGCGTTTTATTCCAGTGTTTCTGGTCGAGTCGATGCGTTGGCTCGCAAGGGAGAAGTGGCGTGTGATGATGTTTTTGTTTTTTTCCAAAAGAACACCAAAAAAGAGGGGCGTTGAAAATAGTACCTTGATTGGTAAACCTCCAAAAAAAAAGTGAGAGATGAGGAACAACGAGGGTCAAGGGAAGAAAACCGGCTCAGCTTTCAAGATGTAAAAGAGGACGGGAGATGATGAATGGATTCGTATCAATATCACAAGAGCCCAGATGCTCGTTGTTCTTTCCGGAGTTCATTGAATTTGATTTGGACCGATACCCACATTTCATCTTGCCCGCCCGTCTTTCACAGGGGGTGACGTGCATGGGCAACCTAGCCATGGGGCCTCCCGGGGAAGAGCCCTCGTGCGTTGAATGCGACGGTCAGTAGGGGAAAGTTGCAACCTTTCGCAACGGCAACCCCCTTTGGGGCTTTGGCCTGTTTGGGGCACTGATGTCACATGTGCGCTTCATGACCCCCGGCGTTCTCCGGAAAGAGGACGACGTTGACGATGATGCTTGTTATGATGCTACCCGGCAGGTTGGAAACAGAGCCCAAGGCATGGATGTAATCTTCCTTCGGCACGATCTTGTCTCTCGTCACCGGATCTGGGTCTTTCCGTCGTTAACAAGGGAGGGATGACCTTTCGCGATGGATACCTGTAACGATCATCGATAACCGCCCGTCGATGAGAGCATATAGCAAGTAAAAAACAACAGAGCTGTCTATCTTTCTGTTGCTGCTTGGACAAAAGACAATGAGTCTTGTTCTGTTCAGATGGACAACAGGGGTGCAAAATGCCCCTTTTTGCTTTTCCACAAATTGGAAAGGATCAGCGCATAGGATTGGCTGTGATGGAAAACTCTGTGCAGACTATCCCCAAATGCACGACCGCTCAACCGGCTGCGCTTCCGGCAGGGCAACCATGACAGAATGGCGCACAGCGATTGCATGCAGCAGGCGGTGCCCAGGTGCCCCAGGAGCCGGCCTTGCAGCTGATCAGTTTGGAGAAAAGAAAGGATGATATCAGTCAACAAAAAACCAACCCAGATGACCGGCACCGTAGTTTCTCTAGTCTCTGCTAGCCTCTACTAGCCGCAGAGCAAACCAAAATATTGGGATTGCCTTCATCTTGAATAAGACAAGTCACATGTCAGAATTGGGCAAAAGATGGGCGAACGGAGCCGAATGGAGGAGAAGCGGAGATTGGCTGAAATGACATCAGGCAAGCGAGAGCCCCACAACTGCCCACTTCCTAGGTTGGTTCCACTGTTGAACGGAGAAAGCCCGCCCGGGCCCAGGTCCTCCACGTGCGAAAAAGGGTCCACACCCCGCCGGTCGCCGGGCGGCCGCATTGCCATTGCCTTCTGTTGTCTTTATGCCGGTCGCCGTTACTGGACACCCGAACAACGGGAGGTCGTGCCTGTCACGGACTCACGGTGCCTTGTGGGGAGGGAAAGTACGTAGAGGTAATGATCTGTCTTTTTTTTCTCTCCCGTTCGCCAACGCGAAAAAGTGCAAAACCAAACAGGTCCAAACGAGGAGCTTCACTTCAACAACCTCCAGCTGCACTGCATGTCACAGTTGTCTTTTCTTTCTTGCACCGCCGCATTCGCAATTCTTTCGTGATTACTCTTCTCTACTAGTCAATGGGCGGTGGTGACCGTGGGGGGAACCACTAGAGGTAACCAAACCAGCGGGACCGGAATTCATCCCGCCCTGTGATCTGACTCCAATTGAAGCTTTTTGCAGTTTGCTTCTTCAAAACCACACTACAATTCCAAACCACTCAAACGACATTTCAGAGGTGCATCGCGTTCAGGTCACCATACAGACGAACTAATCTCATCATTCATCACTACGCTGAAGAGATTTTTACACGACTCGATCAGCAGCATGAAATTCCAGAACAAATATTGGTCTACGATGAGGTCATATTGCGAAAAAGTCGGGTGCAGAGCCGATTGGATCCCCACTTGTCCCTTCTATGCTCCGGCAGGGAGTCGACGGCTCGACGGGGACGTCAAAATTCCCAAATGCGGCCATGTGCGGGATTTACGGGCTCCGCCTTCCGGGCTGCCCTGCGGCTAAGGTACGGCTGTCGGGGCGTTGAGGAAGAGTGGATTGCCGACCTGGACGGTGGACCCGGGGACGCTGACTTCTGTGAGGCCCAGGCGTCAACCGCGGTTCGGTTCACCGTTCCCTTGTTTACGGCGTATGTGACGGCACGCGGTGGGTGCAAAAACTCTGACTCTTCAGTTTTGCTTTGTTTCTTTGCCATGGTTTCTCTTTTCTCTTCCGCTACACCCGGCCAATTCTGTTCTTCTTGTCACTTCCTATTCTGGAGTTCAACAGGGCAAACAAACACAAACGGAGCGCCAGAACAACAATGAACGGAACTCACAGCACGGACAAGCCTCTGAACAGGGCAAGTGAGGTTGATCGTGTAAGTCCAAGCATATAGACTGTTAACCCTAACCCGCCTCTTCTCCAACGCACCCCCTTGAGGCCAACCACATCCTCACTTTCACCCCAAACACTTGATCAGACAAGATTGGATATCATTATGAAGGCAGAAATGTAAACTGACTCTAACTGACTCCATCAAAAGCTCATCGATGCGGTCAAATCCCTAATCATCCCCTTCATCCGGGACGCAGACAACGCCGCCTCTTTCCGAGCCAGCGGCCAGCTCCCCCCAGACAATCGCAATGTCCTCGTCGAACCTGAATCTCTCCGGCCGGACCAGCTAGTCAAGCAACTAGCCCTCTCCCTCCCCTCAGGCGAGGGCGCTGGTCAGCAAGGTCTGCTATCCACCATCCAGTCCATCCTGTCCCACTCCGTCAACACGTGGGACCAAGGCTTCATGGACAAGCTCTACGCCTCCACCAACGCCGTCGGCGTCGTCACCGAACTCCTCCTCTCCGTCCTCAACACCAACCTGCACGTCTACCAAGTCTCCCCCGCCCTAACCGTGATCGAGAAGCACACGGCCAAGCAGTTCGCCTCGCTCTTCGGCTTCACCGGCCCCCGCGCCGGCGGCGTCACCTGCCAGGGCGGCAGCTCTTCAAATCTGACCTCCATCGTCATCGCCCGCAACACGCTTTTCCCGCTATCCAAGATCCACGGCAACAGCCACACCGAATGCGGCGCCCCAGGCCCTTTAATCCTCCTCACCAGCGCCCACGGGCATTACTCGGTCGAAAAAGCCGCCGTGACGTGCGGTTTCGGCTCTTCAGCAGTCTGGACCGTCCCCGTCGACGAGCAAGGGCGAATGCAACCCGCCGCTTTGCGCGAGATTGTCCTAAAAGCAAAGGCCGAGGGTAAACACCCCTTTTACGTCAACGCCACGGCGGGAACGACGGTCCTGGGCTCGTACGACCCGTTTGACGAGATCGCGGATATCTGTGAGGAGTTTGGCATGTGGATGCACATCGACGGGAGCTGGGGCGGCCCGGCGGTCTTTAGCGAGAGGCATAAGCACAAGATGCAAGGGTCGCACAGGGCGAGGTCGTTGACGGTTAATCCGCATAAGATGCTCAATGCGCCGGTGACGTGCTCGTTTCTGTTGACGGATGACGTCAAGGTTTTTCATAGGGCGAATACGTTGCCGGCTGGGTATTTGTTTCATGGGCCGGCGGCGGACGATGAAGAGGAACAAGCGGAAGCTCAGACTCCGGAAGGGGTGACAAATGGGTGTGGAAACGGGAACGGCTCAGACGAGGTCTGGGATCTAGCCGACCTGACGCTTCAATGCGGCCGTAGAGGCGACGCGCTCAAGCTGGCGCTGTCGTGGATCTACTACGGCGCTGCCGGGTTCGAGCGCCAGATTGACGGCGCGTTCGACATGGCCGCGTACTTGGCTGATCTGATTTCCGAGCGCAAGGACTTTGTGCTGGTGTCGACGAACCCACCGCCTTGTCTGCAGGTGTGCTTCTACTATGCGCCTGGCGGGAAGTTGGCAGACGAGCCTGAGCAGAACACGAGGAGGACGAGGGTCATGGTGGAGAAACTCATTGCGAGAGGGTTCATGGTGGATTACGCGCCGGGCGACAAGGGCAGCCTCTTTAGGGTGGTGGTTAACTGCCAGACGTTGAGGGGAACGGTGGAGGGGTTGGTCAAGGGCTTGGAGGCTGTTGGGAAGGAGGTTGTGCCGCAATGAGTTGGGAAGGTCCAGATAATGTCATCTGGTGTGCACATCAGTCACTTCAGCACGACATCGATACAAAAGCGAAAAGGGGTTTGTTTCACGATCTTCCAGCAGCATATAGAGATGACTCGAAATTCTCTTCAAACACAATCTCGGGCTTTAGCCGACTATGCTCAAAATGACTAGGCCAACATATGGGACATTGTGTTTAAAATTTCCCTAGAACCCGTTGAACAAGAACAGACGTCAATTTGAAATATCTGAGGAGCCGCGAAAACAAATTGTTCCTTTATCCATCCACCACTTCTAACTCCCTGAGCAAGCCTAGTACTTGTCGTTCTGAGCCTTGCGAAGGTCGAACACGCGAATGGCCTCATGAGCAGCCTTGACACCGCTGAGAGCCATGGCTCCGAAGGTAGGTCCTGTGATTACCCAAGGTTAGCATGCAGCTTGATCAACCAAAAAAAAGACAGCTCAACATACCCATGCGATTGGCACCATCAATCTCCGACAACTCCATACCGCCAACGATCAGACCCGGGACGATCTCGCGGGTGTTGTTGACAATAGCATCCTCGGCGGGTTGCATATCCAGTCCGCGCATGCCGTTCAGGCGCTCCATCTGCTTCATGCTGACCAAGCGCTTGACCGAGAAGGCACCAAAAGGACCATCATGGCCCGTGGTGCTGATGATGACGGGAGCATTGATGGTGTTGGGGTCCATGCAGCTCTGGTCATCGTGATGCATCGACACCAGGGTCCAGTTGGTCACCACGCCCGCAATCCTCACCTTGGCTTCGTCCTCGGCCTCGCCATCATCTGATGACGACGAAGACTCGGCATGGTGCTTCCTGGTGATTAAGTCCTCAACAGTCGTGGCGTTGAACAGCTTGACATTGGGCCTCTGCAAGACCTTGCTCAACACAGTCGAAGTGAACAGAGCAGCATGCTTGACGACCACATAGTCACCTTCGTCCTCATACGGCACGCCAACCTCGTCCAAGAAGACGTCGGCAGGCTTGCGCATCACCATTGCGCTGAAGAGCTGTCCGCCCAACCAGGCGCCACCGCCCGGGGCGACGCCCGCTTCGATCATGGTGATGCGCAGGTCGGGCCGCAGAGTGGACAAGACGTAGGCGCACGAGAGGCCGCAAGAGCCGGCGCCGACGATGACAATGTCGGACTCGGCGTGGGCATCCAGGTCAGCGAAGTAGCGACGGGTCATGGCGCGCGAAACGGTGGATTCGCGAATGGGGGAAAAGGTGAAGGCATCGGTGCCGAGGGTGGGCATGAGCTCGAGAAGAGGCTTGGACAAGCCCCTGGCATCACGCTCAACGGTGGCATCGTTCTTGCCTACGGCCTTGGGACCGACGTTGACAAGAGTGGGGACGCTCTGCGGCTCGAGAACGGAGGGAGACATGGTGATCGATAGTTATCTGGGAATGTTAGGATGGCTGTACAGGGGAAGGGGGAGTGGGGGAAGAAGTTGAAGCATGATCCTTTCGCTGGTATTATCCAGATCAAGTTCGTCGCCGTATATTCTCAGCCTGTACTCCTCCTCTTGGCATGGCAAAGAGCTAAGCTAAGAAACCTATACCAAGGGGAGAAGTTGGCACCGGCTCATGCATTCAGATAGTTACCTCTGAAAGTATGTTTGAACGTAATCGACTCATGGTATAATCATCCAGCCAAGCGGGAGTCCATGGCTTTAACTCCTCCTGGAATGATGGTTCGTGCCATCTTGGTGGAGGAGGTTGTGGGTGGTCTGTACCCTTTGTGTTGAGTATCTGCTTGCATAAGGGTATTAGCATGTCAACACCTTAGATTGAAGGAGATGTGACGTCGAGTAAGCACGATGACACTTGCGTGATGGTACTAATTGGAACCGACGGCGGATGTTGATGCCAGAGAGATGGGTGATGGTGGAGAAAGGAGGGGAAAGAAGAAGCAGACCTTATGTGGGAGGAGCTGTTGCCCTTTTTATCATCGAAGGTAGGTGCGCTCTTGCACTGGCTGCTCCCGGTCCAGTTCGAGCTGCATCACCTTGCATTCTCTTGCCCCTCTTTCCTCCCTCCAACTGGACATCGTACCCGACTTCAAGCATTGCGGTTATCTGAACATGCCACCTTCCCTGCTTCCCGTGTCCCCTCATAACGCATGGTTGCCTTGCCTTCCTTTCCCCTCCTTTGCTGAAGTTCCACGGCATTGACGATCCTCTGATGATCACCCAGTCTATTGAGCCATCAAGCTACCCCTCTTCATCCCGTTCTTTTCAACAACCGTTCACCCCTTATCTCGATCCTCGACAGTGCGTACGTCAATGCGTGAACCGAACACCCCACTCTGGATGTCGGATGAACTCGCTGATGGCGTGCATATGAGGAAAGCAAACCGGGTAGCTACGGTAGCCGTCGGCCCAGATCCGAGAACCGAGGTCGCAATTCAAGGGCTGGTGTGCAGGTCTCCATGATAGCGTTGGATGAGTGGTACCGCCGTGTGACAAAGTCCGACACCATGCCGACGCCGAGAACCTTAACGGCCCGAACGTTCCCTTCCCCTTCTTGGCTACCACTGTCAGTAGGTCCTACTATCCACCGGGAATACTACCCGCCCACTAGAAGAAACTTTTGAATGTAAGTGGTCTTCACGAAAAGATAGTATTAAGGTCCTACTAACAAACAGCAACATTACGGACGTTATCTCTACCGACAGACTTTTTTGTTTCTCCATGATGTTTTCCATACAGCCGTATCCACCAGTACGTATGCATGCTTCCTCGCTTCGCCTCGCTTCTGAATAACAGGAACATGAAATCCCCTCATCTCCATCTCATTACAACATTATTGACATATTCGCAGATCCATTGAACCGCACTTCAGCGTGGGGGTGTGTGAGACAGTGTGACTGATGTTTTGCTCAACCGAGCAAGACCATTACGAGGTACCCAAGTAGTCCAAGGACCACCCCAGCACTAGCACGCCTGGCCTCAATATTCGAACCAGGAGCACCGGCTAAAACAGGACTATAGTCTGGCCCGGCCGCAGTTGTCGGGCGGTACGGGACAGCTGTATTGGTGACTACCACCGGATCCGGGTCCGGTGTTGGCGCCGGTGTTGTGGGAGTCGTGGCGGGCCCATGTGAGTCACCAGTTGACACTCCTCCACCCCCTGCCCCCGGCCCTCCCCCTACTCCCGGTGCGGAACCAGAAGGTTGAGGATCATCAAGAGGAGGGGGAGGACCGTAAGTATACCCCGCTGGGTCGTGCTCATTTCCGCCACCAGGTGTGGGAGGATCGGTATGAATCGGGACAATAGCCGGTGATGTTCCCGGTACCGATACTGCCGGTCCTGGCCCTGGGTACCCGCCACCTACTCCAACAATAGTCGATGTCGTACATTGCGACTCACTACTAACACTTGCTGCCGGTCCTGCGGTTCGCGTCACAATGGTTGTTGGGTTGAGCGCCGAGAACCAAACCTCGGAAGAAGGACGACCAACACCCGGGTCAATCACTGTTACCGTTGAGGTAGCATCTGGTTCGCCGTATGAACTGCATGCATGGCAAGGGCCTCCCGGCGTGTGTCCGGGAACAGTTCCAGTGTAAGTCGATGTCGTGCAGGTGCTGCATGGCTGGATGGTGACGGTTACGGTAGGCTCCGTTGCTGTTGTGCACGACGTCTAAATGGGACAAGGTCAGTTACACTCGCAAGTTTTTATCTATATCGGTCGGTGATGCTGCAACTTACCCTAGTGACAGTGAAGGAATGATCAGACGAGGCAGGAGTTCCCATGATGCAAGGGTAACATGGGAGGTTCGTTGCTGAAGTCTGGCAGATGGACCGGGTCATGGTGGCAGTACATGAGGTGGTTGTCGTTGTGACTGGTATCACTCTTTGTCAGTCTCAATCACTGGGAAATATCTTTGGGACCATTGTTGACTTACCCGTCGCCCCTTCAGGACACACCTCGATCTCCTCAATCATATAAATGATCTCAACACCAATCCACTTATCACAATTTACGGGAGTTGCGGTCGGGAACGGACTAGTAACACCGGATCCCAAGGATATCGGGGAGCCCGTCCCAGTACCACCCGATCCAGCAACGGTTGACACTGACGAAGGACTACCTGTTGTGTTGGTCCCGTTTACTGCAGCAGGAGAAGAAGAAGAAGAGAATCCTGGTGCTGTCCCTGATGCAGAAAGTGGCCCTGTGTGAGAAGCCTCACCACCACTCCCTGTTTCGCTGCCCGCTTGGCCTGTAGATACGGCAGAGCCTGGGTGAGTGTTAGCTGGATCTTGCGTCGAAAGCCCCCCAGAGGGAAGGCCGGGCAAAGTAGTAGCTGATGCAGAACCAGATACAGAAGTGGCTGTTAACTGACCCCCAGAAGATCCTGACCCAGATATGGGTGACCCCGAAGTCAATGACGACAGACTATTTGAGGGTGCACCAGACGCAGTACCACTGACAGGCTGTCCACTGCTGTTGGGCCCTGAGGGACCCAACGTGAGTGAACCACCCGCTCCTGAACTGCCATTAGAAAGGTTGCCCGTTCCTGTTCCCCCGGGAGCTTGTGCGGACCCAGTTGCTGAACCAGAATTACCACTTCCGCTACCATTGCCGCTGCCACTACCACCGCCAGCCGAGCTGCTACTTCCGCCCATAGTCGCGGTATCTGATCCAGATACAGGGATAGGGGTAGCAGTGGCAGTACTCAGAGAGCCTTCCCCTGGAGATGAGCCAGAATCTCCTGTTGTCTGACTGCCGGGCAAGGACGATACAGGTGTTCCCGAGGAGGTGAAGGTGGCGGTTTGGTTGCTGAACGGCGGGCGAGTAGACGAAAGTTGGGATGCTGTCCCAGATCCAGCTCCGGCTCCGGCTCCGGCTCCGGCTCCAGCTTCAGATGATGAACTTGCGGAGATAGGGTCTCCCGAGGCTGTTTGGATATCCGCGCTGGTGCTGGACGGGTATTGACCAGAGTCTGTGGCAGTGACCAGGCTACTGGATGGTGGCACTGCTCCGGGGTTCCCACTCGTGTTGGGTCCCTCTGTATCAGGCTCGCCACTGGCGATGGGAACAACTGTCACCGTTGATTGAGGAGCCGTAGTCTGGCCCGAACCTGAACTGGATGGAGATGATCCGCTAGGCTGAGAAGACGATGATCCCTGATTATCATCACTGCCACCACTGCCACCACTACCACTACCTCCACCAGACGACGGCTGCACACTGCTTTGAGCCGGGGGTTGAGCTGTCACCGTCACCTGATCACCAGAAGTACTGGGTATACCACTGGACATGCCGGGCGAATTTGACGGCGAGGCAGAACCTGAGGAACCTGGGATATCTGAAAGAGAGCCTCCTCCTGGTGGCTGGGAGGACACGGGCGGCTGCGCCGTCACCGTGACTGGTGGTACTCCCGACTGTGGACCAGAAGAGGAAGGAGAGCCTGGAAGCCCTCCAGTGGCAGTGCCAGGTCCAGATGCTGATCCCACAGGAGAACTGCTCGAGAATCCCATACCAGGATCAGCCGTAGCTGTCTCCGACGATGGGGGTGCATTACTACTATTGGGTCGACCGGAGCCGGAAGCAGTGATAGTAACGGGCCCGCTGGGCGCCAAACCACTGCTTGATTGAGACGATGGGGACGAAAAATTGCCTGCCTGTGAGGGCATTGAAGACGGAGGAGCGCCGCTGATAGATGGGGGTAAAGCTGTAACCGTGACGGGTCCTGATACAGGGCTTGATGAGGACGGAGAGTCGGAACTTTGTGGAGAAGTCCCATTGCCGGATTCAGAGGGCGGGAGAGCTGTGACGGTGACTGGACCTGAACCTGATGGTGATGGTAATGGTGAGCCACCAGAGTTGGACGGAGATGATGGCTCGACGGTGACGGTTCCGGGTGGTGATCCTGATGGATCTTCTGGCGGAGGAGGCCTCAGAGTGAATGTCGGTGGCAGAACCGTGACGGTTTCCGGTGGTGATCCTGATGGGGCTTCTGGAGGAAAGACAGTTACCGTTGGAGGAGGATGAGGAGGCTCTAGCGGCATGGTACCGTTGCCGTAGGTCATACTCGTGCTGTTGTTCGGAGCAGCAGCTGAGGCAGGCGCAGATGCAGGCAAAGGAGTTACGGTGATTGTCGGTGGAGCACTCGAAGGTGAGCTGGGACTGGAGGGAAAGACGGTCACCGTGATGGGATCGTTTTCCGGCCCGGTGGGCTTCCGAGTGCTGGAGGAATTGGTAAAGGTAAGATTTCCCGTCACGCTGCTTGAAGGGAGCGATGCCGTGACTGTGACAACGGGCCGAGAGAAGGTTGAGTTTGCAGGGAGTGAAGTGCTCAAAGCGATTGTGCTGCTGACTGGTTAGGAATTTCTCGTTAATCTGTCCGCGGTTGAGAAAGTAACCCACCTAGAGTTGGTAGAGACCGTGGAACTTGATGCGTTACTGGTAGTCGTCGATATGGTGTTGTCCTTGGGACGACACACTCCGGGACTGATCATGCCATAGATGCACTTGCACGACGCCGAGCAAAGACTCTCCGGAGTACCGTTTGCCTTGCCCTCATCGCACTGCTCATGGAACTTGGTGTCCGTCACATTGTTTCCGCACCCAACAGGAGTTGCTCCACGCGCAATAATGTACGGAATGCCCACGGTGCCGTCAGCAAACTCCTGCTGCCCCGGGCCGGAGGCGTTTACGGCGACGGCCAACGCATTGAAGCCACCGGACCCCTCCCGAGGGTAGTCCGAGAACACCTCATGGACACTGCAGTTCCAGTCGCTTGCTATGCCGTCGTTCAATGAGGTCATGACGTCGGACGTGGCTACGAGATGGGCGTCGTTCAGACACGGGTGGCTGAGGTTGCCCCGGACCTGGAAGTTTCCGATCTCGGACAGAGACTGGACAGCCATCTGGCTGGAGTTGCTCTGATAGTAGCACGAGAGCGAGAAGTACATGCCCGTGCCGTTCTTGTTGCCGAGGGTGACGTGGCTGATGGCGTCCTTCATCATGGCATAGGCTCCCGGGAGCCCGAACCATTTGGCGTGGAAGGACGGGTCGGTGCCGATGAGGACCATGTTCCCCGTCACGGCCGGGGACCATACCTTTTTCGTGTCGTCTAGGAACTTGATGGTGTTGAGACTGGTGTTGCAGAGGCAGTCGGGGATGATGATGGCCTTGTATTTGGCAAAGTCTGCCGTGGTCATGTTGTACCATTCTGCTTCATCTTTGCAGACGTGGGCTGGTTGTTTTCTCTTTTGTCAGTACTCGCTCAAGTATCAAAAGGTCAAATTATGCTAACTCGTCACACTCACCTGATAGCCCCAACTTGACAGTCTCATTATACTCTGAGTATTTCAGGCCATGCATATACGGGAACAAGACATCTTGAGCCAACGCAACGCTTGCCAAGCTGGCAAGAGCCAGATGAATGATGAAGACGAGCCTCATCAGGATTTAATGTCGAAAATTTGGTAGTGATCCTAGGGCCTAGGGAAAAAAGGAGCGGGTGAGATAGATGTGTCTATCAATTTGACTGACTTGCACGTCTGGAAACGAGTGATACTCCCGGAGGGAAGCAAAAAAAAGAACGCAGGAAGGAAAAGACTGAATAAAGTCAGTAGCCAGAAAAGACACCCTTCTAGCCGAACGGGAAAAAGACGATAGGGAAGAGGGATCTTGCTATTTGAGCAAAACCGATGCGTTGAGTGAAGCATAAGATTAAGGAGAGTCAAGGTAACCATGGGGTTCTGGGATCTCCATGAAAGCAAGCACAGGGGGAGTTGGAGTTTCAAAGGATTGTCTAGAGGGCTCGAAATTTTCTTGCTAACTGACGCTGTCATCACCCCCAGGATCTGGAGAAGCAGTTGACCCATCGCCGCGCCGCCGCTGAACTAAACCAAACAATAACATGGTCTATATCAGGAAGTATCGTGTTGCACATTCCGATACAAGACAAGTAAAGTAGGTATCTATCTGGGGTCGCCGAGGAGAGGCAGAGGCAGAGGCAGAGGCAGACCAGACACGAAACAAGCTTCTCTGGGGACAACGTTGGCCATGTGCTGAAAGCGTTTTCCCCCCTCCATTGTTGTTGCTGTGTCTTCTGCGCTGCTGTCTTGTTGTGTCTACAGCCCTAGGCGATGTTTGGAGTCATCGACTACCTAGACACCAAAATGCTTGGCCTACGGATACCTTTGGTGATCATCACCAGCCGTTCAAGATCCAAAACATCAGCAATATGTATGTAATCCCGAGATTCCCCGTGGGCTTTGAGGCACTCCCAGATCTCATGTTGTGAAGCGTGGGCGTCAAAACACAAAAGCGGAGAAATTACGCAAGCTTTCAGCCGCAGCGATACCGCTGCTGACTAGGTACCTAGAGCTATGAGCTATGTTCCAGACAGACAAGACGGCAAGTTCCTCGCTGTGGCCCTCGCCGCGCTCCATCTAGGTGAGCATATAGTCAGCCCGGTCTGACATGGTCGTCTTTACTTTCCCTGATAGCAGAGGGTAACGGACACTGATCTGGTGTTACACGAAATGGACGTTAGACATACATACATGGAGTCAGCCCGATGGGCAGACAGACAGGAAACTTAGATCAGCGAGAAAAGCCAGGATCCAGGAACCAAATGCGTGCGAGACATGGTTGTCTAGGAGTGCAATTTTATCTCAGTCCTACCTACTTACGCTTTTCACTCTTTCGGTAGAGGGAGTATCTTCAGCAAGACACTCACTAAATTGTTCCTCCAGTAACCCCCCAGTTTGTGGCCAGAGCATACTGCAAGATCTAAAAAGATCAGATCAGCATACCTTGTTTGGTGTAATGGGCAGACGGACATGTATGTGGTGGCGTGGCGGGCCAAGAGAAAAAAGTTGCCCCGTAGCTCCAATGTCTTATGCTCTGATGGGTTTGAACCTCAGCTGATAGATTTTGGAAGTAGGTACCCGTCCGTTCAGCACTCAGCATTCAGCACTCAGCAAAAAAAACAAGAAGACCAAGAAGCAGCGGAGCCGCGAAGAACGATGATGGATGCGTCATAGTTCAATATTTCCGTCCCGTCTTACTTGGAGATCCGAAAAGCTGGGAAAGTCACCTAGTATAATAGAGTTTGACCGAGAACGAGAAGAGAGATATTATTGGCATCGTTCGGCCCGTTGAGTTTGCGTCTTGAGTCTTGACGGCGGAGTGTTTTGGTTTCAGCTCTCTCGTGTTGTGACGGATGACTGAAGAAAGACAATGACAACTAAAGACATCGGATATCGGCGACGGCGGGATTGCGGGATTGAAAGGAAAGAAGTCAGGCTGGATGAGGAGATATGATGTCAATGTCAATTCGGGAAGACGCGGTTTCAAGAACGGGACAATGAGGGAGAAGATATTGGCAGAGTGGAAGGAGCTAACGGCGGAGCGGAAGGAGGCAACGAGTTGTGGAAATGGTGATTTGGTGGGCAGCCCACGTTTTTTGGGTGTAGAACTGAAGGGACTCGAAAATGTCGTTTCGGCATGGTGGCGGTTTCGTTGCGTTGGCTTAGGTCTTTCGATACAGCCATTGCTAGCTTGATTAGGCCGTTGAGAGATGCCACAGAGTGCCTCCATATCGGGCAGTGAAAACCTCATGCCTAGCTTTAGGATTATACGTAATAATTTGTTTGCATTGATGGCAACATTTAGAGATGCAGGATCTACATATCTAGCCAGGAGATGAGGTGGCGCCCCCTCGACACCCACCAGGGATACATTGTATTCCCAGTCCCTCGCTCCTGCTGCCATCCAATCTCGGGGAGTCCATGCCCCGATAGTATCTGCCAGGGTGTGCTTGCCCGATCCAGAGATGTGTAGATGAGTGAAATGTGCAGGAGGCAGGGACGATGAGATCTGCTTTGGTCCCCTGTGTAAACCCAAAACCGAGCTAAGGAAAAATGGTCAACGGGGTCAGGTCATACACAGATCCAGCACCCTCCTCTCTCGTGCCTCCCAGTGCCAGGCCAGGACCACCACTGCACCATATGTTGATCTTGATAGTGGCTCCAACCCTCCGAAAACTCTCAATTTCCACCACTAGTCCAAACGTCCGTCTACTCCTTCCCAAAAGCCCAAGCGGGCATCTTCCTCACATCCCAGATCTCAAACGGATCCGCATCCTCCTCGCTCACCAAAACCTCAGGGTGCTTAACGCCCTCCTTCTCCAACTGAGCCTGCAACTGCGGCTGCAGCCTCTTCTTCAAGAACTTCCTCTCACTATTGCTGTGAAACACAGTCACGACCACTTTCCCCTTCATAGTCAGCGCCAGCGCATAGTGATGCGTCATCTCGCCGGTAACAATCAGATCGGCGTCGCAGTTCTTGAGCACGCTTTCCCCGCTTCCCGCGCAGATGCCCACGCTCCGGATGGTCGTGACCTTCTTGTCCTTGGGCGCCGCAATCATGATGTGGTTCAGCCCGCCGAGGCCTTCGGCATAGGCCTTGATGATGTTTCCAAGGTAGACGGGGTGGCCGAGCTCGACTAGGCGGCCGTAGCCGGAGTTGAAGAAGGCCGGGGGCAAGGAGGACGTGATGGAGCTCGAGATGGGCTGGCAGATGCTCCGCTTGGTCTCGACGCCGTGGCCGTCGAGCATGTCGGCTAGCCAGTCGTTCATGCCGCCGGGCGCGGCGTCGACGGCGGTGTGAGGGGAGTACACGGCGATGTTGGCCTGGGCGAGCTGCAGGAGGATGCGCTGCTGGGGATCGGCGAGGGTGACGGACTTGAGGCCGCGGAAGATGAAGGGGTGGTAGGAAACAATCACGGAGGCGCGCTTCCGGATGGCTTCCTCGGCGACGGCGACGGTGAGGTCGTTGGTTAGAAGGACGGTTGGGGAGACGTCCTGGCCGGCAACGGCAATGTTCTCTTGGAGGAGGCCAACATTGTCCCAGGCCTTGTCGGCGAGTTGCTCAGGGTAGCTGGTCGCAGTTAGTATCAGTCATGGTAATCGGTCATGTTGAGTGAAGTCGTTAGAAAATTACAAGTGGAAAGCAACTTACAGCGCCCGCATGGCGGCAACTACCTGCTTGGTGAACTGGGGGCTCTCGAGGGTTGAAGTCATTGTGACGGCGGGGTGGTTATTTGAGTTTTGGCAATACGCTCTATTAAAAGCTCCCGGGAGGATAGATGATGCTTTATAGCAAAATGCAGCAGGTTTGGTGAATAATCTGGTGGTGATCCTAGTAGGGATCTTGAAGACTGCGCTCATGAGTGTGCCCGGGGCAAGTGTTGATGCTCAAAAGTGGGCAGCTCCGGGAAAAATTAAGCTGTGGTTTGGTCAGCGGGGTACATTAGGAAATGGAAGAAAAATAAGAAATATTATTTATCGTCTTCAGATTCAACCAACATACATCTGATTTCTACTCAAATCTTGTTGTCCTCGTCAATTGTTCAAGTGAAGTGATTGTTTACAACCTGGACTCGAACGAGGGAGCTCCAAGCGGGGAGGGTGAAGCTCCCGAGCTCGAACCTTGCAAGCTCTCCCGTCTCTCCACTGTCAACCCTAACCCTTCTTCCACTCTTGGTGAAAGCTTCATGCCAAGACCTGCAATTCGCGGGGCATCTTTCTCACACTTCAGGTTGCTTGTCCCTGCCGATTATTCATCCATTCATTCTTTCCTTCTTTCTCCCACTCATACTTCCCCGACTCGATTTCCAAAGCAAGATCTCCAAATATCACCTCCTCCTACACCGGAGACCAGACATACTAGCACACAAAACACAAAAATGGCCGACAACCAAGAACCAGCAATAACAGAGGACTTCCTCTCCGCCGCCCTCAAGACGCGGCTCAATGCCACTCACGTAGAAGTAACAGACATGTCGGGTACGTACATAACATTTCAATTACTTTAATTTGCTTCTCTATACATGAACTGGATACACTGCATACGGTTCCTTCCCGAGTTTACAAAACCGAAAGAACCGAACCTACCCGCCCTTGCCCTGACGTCATGTCATGCTTTGAACCCCCCGACGGATGATCTGATAAGATTATCTACGTTTGTCTACCTACCTACCTACCTACCTACCTACCCATCTACCCATCTACCCATCACCTCCCCTCCCACCCCATCCCCCTACTTCCCCTTCCACATACCATACCTAACTAACACCAAAAAGGCGGTTGCGGCGCCTCCTTCACCTCCCTCATCGTCTCGCCCGACTTCGTCGGCAAAAACTCGCTCAAGCGGCACCGACTGGTCAACGCGGCGCTCAAGGTGGAGATTGCGCGGATCCACGCGTGGAGCGCCAAGTGCCAGACGCCCGAGGAGTATTCCAAAGAAAGGGCGGCTACCGGCGGGAACGACGGCCCGCCCATGGATGGGACGAATGCTGAGGGGAAGGTGGAGGGTGTTGCTCAGTGAGTGAAGGGAGTGAAAAGGAGGAAGGGGGGGAAATGGGGGCAAGAGGGAAGAAGGAAGGGTGGGATCTGGTAAAATGGAAGGGAAGGGAAGGGAAGTCGGTTGGGGGTTCAGTGGATCTTGCTGTGTTGGTGTACCTCGATGGGCATAAACAGCGCGTATTGCTCAAAAGGGCGGCATGGGATTCTGTGATAGGCTTTGGAAGCAGGTATGGAAGTTAGGAAGGAATGACAGGAAACGAATTAAGGTCATAGTGAGACGATGGACTGTCTGAATCGTTGCTCTGTGTGTTATGTTTCTTCCCGGTATTGACTTCTATTCGCATTGTATCTAGGATGAGAAAGTAAGAGACAGAGGCTAAGAAATGAGCGTAAATCTGATATGTAAGTATTTGACACCACCCAACCCATTGTCCATCGAGGTATTGGATCTTTAGCGCAAAAGTTACACCTGCTCGACACTCGCTCCATCACCTGCAGCCAAATCCTCTGTTATCCCCTTATTCCTCCACCAAATAAGCCAACTCCAGCGGTTCGTGTTCATCATCGAGGCGAAAAACCCTCTCATCCTTTCCATCACCATCCATGATCCACCTTCACGGATCTGATGCTGAGGGAGGAGGCCATGTTGGGACCCTCCTCTTTTGGCTCCAGACCCGGTAGAGAATCTTGATGAAGAGCCAGAATATGTTCTTTTGTCCCTGAGAGTAGGCCTTTTCCGACCCCCTCTTCTCTCACCCAACTCTTCGTTTCCATTCGCTGTGGACGAACGTTCCCTCAACCTACCATAGTCACCAGTCGTCTGCCATGAGTTTGTTGAGGGCGGCCTACCAAATAATCCACTGGTATATCTCTCAATCCGGTTCCCCATCTTCTTGGCCATTCTCATGCCCCAGCGAGTCTGGAGGACAAATATGACCATGAAGAAAGGGATGCAAACAGCTATGAGAGTGACGGGAAAGCGCCAGTCGTCAACCGATATCTCGAGAGTGGTGATACCAAAAACGGACTGAGACCGAGTTAGTAGAGGTAATCTATTGATATGCATAGGAACTCGATCCGGGGCGAATAGGTAGACTTCTCTGACATGGAGAGGGTGGAAGGTACACGTTGGGAAATGAGAGAAGCGAGCAGGGGAGCGTAGGTATATGGTAGTGAATACAACGAAGTCTGGGGATGACGAACTTTCGGTAAATAGTATAGCAAGAGGAGGGAGTGTAGAATCAGAAAAAAAGGACAGGGCAAGTTAACTCACAGTAACAAACGTCAAAGGCAGAAAGAGCATCGATACCACAGTAAGGATCTTGATGTTGTCTCCCTGCTCAATGGCCCTCCTGGACTCCTTGACGCTGCTCCCGCTAAAGAGCTGCTCCCTCAGCGACGAAATCTCCTCTCGTGTTTTCTCATTCTTCTTCCGCACCTTCTCCAGGTTATTCACTTCCCTGTCCAACTCCTGTCTGAGAACTCCCATGCATTTAGCATAAGCTTTACCATCATCCAAGTCCGGATTTGGGTGTGCCCAAAGCTTCTCATGCTTCCCGTCCCAAAACTCTTGGGTAAAAGTCTCCTTGTAGGCTGACACCATCGAGTCAATCCCTACATTGATCACACCGAGAGTGTTGTACGCCCAAAAGTAACGACGGGAATACGAGAAGTTTTCGTCTTCAAAGAGGAGGCCGTCGCGAAGCTGGGAGTTAAACATAAATTCGCTCTGGGATGAATGCGTCAGTTGATGGTCTTTGGTTTTGTCCAATTGGTAGCACCCTTACCGGCGGTGTGATCAACTTCGTCACCTCGTCGTTGATCTGACTGTATCTTGTAACAGCATCATGGTACTCCAGAGCCAAGCTATCCAGAAATGCAAACGGGCCATTGCATAACGGCCGATTTGACCCCTTGCTTCTCATCGTGTGCTCGTCGTCTGGAAAGCACTGGATACTGAGGAGTTGCCATGGCGCCGAAGTGTCAAAAATCACATGGTCCTTGATATCTCTTTTCTTCACCCTTGCCCGGTATTTTTTGATCGGATCGCCGCCCAGGGATAATGCCAAGATTGAGCTGCACTCTGCGATGTCGACATGGTCGGGCCATTTTCGGTCAGCTGGACGGGTATCATAACGTTGCCACGGTGCAGGAGTGCACTTGTTCTTATTGACAACAGTATAGTACTTGAAGACGAAGAAGAAAGTCCGTTGCCTTAAAGGGTTTGATTCGGTAGTTCGATCCATGTAAGCCTAGATTTGGTATGTTCTGTTAGCATCCACGAGGTGACCGGATGATGGTGTTACGGACTTTGGTCTTCCCGCTGTTTCCTTCATTCGAAATGAGGTGTTGGAATAGCTCATCCATGTCGAAGTGTTTTTGCATGGTCATGTGGACTGCTCCGAGTACAAGAGGGGGAACCTCTTGAAGAATACTTAGAAACCGTTAGCAAGAGCCCTTGAAACTTCCGCAATAACAGGGCACACTCACGTTATTCTTCCGACCACCTCCCCGTTTTTGTTCACCTCCTTGAGGGTATTCCAGACGCTTTTGACGCTGAGGGTTTGCTGAGAGTCTTCTCCGTTCTCCTTATGCTTGGCCTCGGGAATGCACTTCTGATCACCGCTCCCGGGTATCTCGTATACCTCATATGTTGCATTTTTGTATGCGCCGTCATCCCTTCCATCCCAAGGCTCCAAAAATTGATCCGGGGTCGTGATGTACCCGTTACGCCACTGATCCTGTAGTTTCGTCTCTCCAGCCCAGCTGGTGCCGTGGACTGATTCCAGATGATTTCTCAAGTCTTGATCCGCAAAGGACTCTTGCTCGATTGGCTTGGTGGTGCAAAGAGAATGGCTCAGCAGATCATCAACCTCGTACTCGGCCATTGAGGGCGCCTGAGATGCTTTGTCGTTGAACGCCGCTTCAGTAGGAAAATGATATGGTCTCGAGGTATGCAGCTCGTTTGTTTGGCGCTAACAACGGTTGGAACCGAATGTATACCAAGAGAGACTGTCGTGAGAGAAACCCGAGCCCCTAGGCGGCGTAGGCGGAGGGCTATCGTGGCCGCGTGAGCGTTCAATACCACTGCTTCTTGCGAGAACAGTAGGAGAGTTGTTCTTGAGGGTGAGGTCATGAAGGAGCCGAAGATTGGCGATATATAGTTCGTGGTGTTGCTCCATGGCTTTGAGCAGTTCATCTGGATTGTGGGAGGGTTTCATAATGAGTGTGCAAATGACAAGGAAATGGACTAGGGGAGTTTCAACAAGAGACAGACGGGGACGAGGATTAGTTAGAGCCACCATACTTCAAAGTTCGTGCTTTTTGAAATTGATGGCTCATGTATACCCTACCACTAATGTAAACTGAATACCGTGAATAAATGGCTACTCTGCTGGGTGGATGATAGAGATCTGGCAGGTTGTCGTAAAATGCCACAAAATGATGAACCAAGAAGGGCGATAAGGTTTGCAACAGAACGCCGTTAAGGGGTCGAGTGGAGGGGGATGATTCGGCCAGATTTCTAGGAGTGGAGGATAATGTGGCTGGAGGCCGTGCTTCTAGAACAGTTGTCAATGAAAGAATGAGGAGTTTTGTGTCTCAACTTGAGGAGCCCCCGAAAGATGAGAAGTGAGAAGTAACGGAAAGTGGCAACCACGAACCTTGCTCCCACAAGTTGGTAAGTGCGATCTGGTAAGGTGAGGTGACTGAGGGTGCCTGCCCCTGTGTATATTGGTCGCATACCAGAGGAAAGAGGCATGAATTGTGAGGTAGTGGCCTCCCACTGAATGAAGAACGAGACAGACAAGCTGCCTATGGGTGGATATGTCCTCCTTCCTTCTCCTTTCTTTGGCCAGCCGAGCAGCTCCCAGTGAACAAAGTCAACGGCATCTTCCTGTTTTCCGTGCCGGTCATCGTATCACTACATATTAATTGGCTCCGTACTACTATGTATTTTGAACGTAAACAAGCACTAAACCTCTTCCCTATTCGTTTGACCCTCATACTGACCAAAGTTCTTCCCTATGCCACGCTAAACTCGGGAATCTCACCCATTTCAGCCTTTGCTTCCGCCCCGACCTTGTACGATACCCTCCACCTGAGCTTCACGCTCTCTACCTTCTTGGTCTTGTCCGCAGTATACCATACATTGACGGACTGCGTAATGCCCCGGCTTTGCTTGGGGGAAAGAGTCCGTCCAGTTTGAGGTTGAAGTTGCAATTCATATCCCTGTTTGGGTACCACAGTCAGCATCTCTTTTTCTGGGGGTCATCTATGTTGGCCGCTTATGGACAGGATAGTGAGCTTACCTTGGTAACAGCCAACTGGAAATGCACCTCGGTAATCGGTTGCGCTGTGTTGTTGCTAAAAGCAAATTGCATAGAAATCGCTGGAGACGGGCCGTTTGCCAGTGATCTGACAGCCACCATGTCAACTTTGAGCGCGGTGTTGTGGACAACGGCCCTGTGCTCCTTCGGTTGGGCGGGTGCCGCCTCAGGGGGCAGTGCCGAGGAGAAAGACCACTCGTCATCGTCGTTACTGGCAGCAGCTGGTGCTGGTGCTGGCGCTGGGGTAGATGAAGAGGACAGAGAGGCTAGAGCAGCAAATGGGTCATTGGACGCTGTTGACGTCGCAGCTGGCGCGGCAAAAGCGGATGCCGTATACGCGGGAGGCTTAGGGGTGCTTGATTGGGAAGCAGCTGGCGATGCGAATGAGTTGAAGTTGTTGAAAGAGGATGGGCCAGGTTGAGGAGAGGGGCCCCTTGCGGTGCTGTTTTGCGTAGTGGACGAGAGCAGTGCCGGTCCAGGAATGTCTGTGGTGAGTGTTAGTAAAATTGAATCTGCATGCATAGCAACGAGTGACATACTAGTATTGGCACCGAACCCAAGCGCAATGCCGCCTCCTTGACCAAAAGAGCTGGTTTCACCCAGCGACAGGCCAAGCAAGTCGTTTTCGAGACTGTTTCCTCCCTGAGATGCCGACTGGCTGGCTGAGTCTCCTCCGCTCGGCTCAGCATCAAAATCAATAAGCGACAACTCTTGCGCCGCACTCTTGCCACTACCACTGCCGTTGCTTGTGCTCGTAACTGGCGCGCCACTTGCCAACGCCTTGGCACCTTCTATATCGCCCTTCTTCAGCAACCTATATCTCTCCACGGTTCGGTGTATGCTGTCGTTGATTTCGAGAAGCTTTGCGACCGCTTCATGGTCATCCGATTCTTCCTCGCACATCTTCGCAATCTTTGGTTGGGCGCTGGACAAGGCGGCAGCAAGCTCGGAGAACACATCACCGTCCACGATCTTGTCACCGGGTTTGAAAGCCTCTAACCTCTCCTCGAGGAGTCTCGCTTTTTGTTGGATTTTGCCCACGTCCTCGGCCGCCTTGGCGCGGTAATCGACCTTGGATCTCGTGTCATAACCAGCCATAATCTTCATAAGTCGATTAGCCTCCTGAAGGTCCTCGGGAGTACCTCGACGGATAAGCTCCTGCAGCTTGGCGGACTGCGCCTCACGTTCCTCCTCTTCCATCTCCTCGACGGATTTAAGGTTCTGTAACAGGTACGTTAGACATGCTTCAACACTGTCACGAGGGGGGTAGGGACGGAGCACTTACATCACTCGGGTTAAGCACAGCTGCATCCTCCCTTCTGACTTCCGGGAAGGTGTACCCCTTATAACTCAGCAAGCGGTGCATGTCCCTGATGAAGCCCAAGTCCTCCTTATACCTGCTCGTCTCGCAAATCGTACAGCGCCATTCCTCAATGGCCTCGAGAATCTTGAGCTGGACGCGGGTGGGGCGGATCGGGGGCCGCTCGGGAAAGCGGCGTACCAGCTCATTGAGGAACTCCTTTGTGCTGATCTGGAGGTGGAAGGGGTAGCCGCAGTTCTTTACGCAGATGTCGAGCAGGTTGAGGGCGAGCAGGGAAACGTTGGGGTTGCGGTTGTTGATGTAGTTGACGATGGCCACGGCGGCCTCTCGGGGGGCGGAACCCTTTTTGGAATTGATCAAGTCGGCGATCTCGAGGTTCAGGGCCAAGTTGGGCTCGTAGTTGTCGGGACTGCAGGCGGCCGTGATGAAGCGCTGAAGCTGTGACGGTGCCAGGCGGCCCATCTCGGCCCACCGGTCGCGCGTGGCATAGCGGGCAGACGCCGCCTCCATGTTGCCGGCGTTCTCGGAGAGTCTGGAGGCGTTAAGTGGGTGAGAAGACTGACGAGACTGAAGAGATCGAGGAGGTATTGGGGCCAGATTGCGCAGCTTGGCTTGGCGGGAATCGCCTGGACAAAGGAAGTCGGCGGCCAGGACCCAAGCCTCGGTCGGTCAAGCTCTAGAGGAGTTGTATGCTTATTGCCGTTGGGATTGATGTCTTGTAACAAGAGTAGTGCGCTGATGTTTGGGGTGAGATATACGATTACGCCAAGTACAGGTAGACAGAGGTATGATTCGATCCGAACTTCTGGACAACAATGATCGCTGGCTGATGGAAGGAGGAGGCCTGGGAGCCAGGCTGCTGCCAGGGGAGCTTAGACTTGTGGACCCCGTGGAGCCGCACACTGGCTTGGTACAGTTGCGTTACATGAATACTTCCCGTGTAAATAAATAATACACTTCGATTTCATCCCACTTGCATGAATCCCGGGAAGATGTCAATCACTCCGCACCGGACCCCACCAACCCACCTGCATCAACCCCAAATTCCATGTCGTCAAGGTCTTCAATTGCATTTGATAACTTTTTCGCCATCTGCCACTTCGACCTTGTAGCGCAAGCAGCTCGCGCGGTCCAACACAGCACGCACATATCCGCGACACCCGCCACCCATCCAAGTTCTGCCTTTTTAAAAACAGGGCAGTGCTCGTGCCAGAACGACCGATTGCGACATAAATATCCATCCATCTCGACAGCATCACACATCCGAATCTGACCATCACCACCACCATGGTCCGCCATAAAAAGGACGGCTTCTCTTCGCGCGGCGGCAAAGGCGGCCACGGCCGGCACCCGCCCCGCAACAACCCCCGCGCCGGCAAAGCCCCTCAAGACGGCGCCGGCAGCGGCGGCGAAGACACCACAGCCAACCCTCACGACCCATCCGCTTCCTCGCGCCCCTACCGCCCTCCCTTCAAAGCCGCCTGCTGGGACCTCGGCCACTGCGACCCGAAGCGGTGCTCGGGCAAGAAGCTGATGAAGCTCGGTCTGATGCGCGAGCTGCACCTAGGCCAGCGACACTCGGGCGTCATCATCACGCCCAACGGCAAGCGGGTCGTGTCGCCCGCCGATAAAGAATTGATGGAGCAGTACGGCGCGGCGGTGGTGGAGTGCTCGTGGGCGCGCACCAAGGAGGTGGAGTGGAAGAAGGTGGGCGGCAAGTGCGAGCGCTTGTTGCCGTACCTGGTGGCGGCCAACACGGTCAACTACGGCAAGCCGTTCCGGCTGAACTGCGTGGAGGCGCTGGCGGCGGCGTTTGCGATTTGTGGGCATCTGGAGTGGGCGGAGGAGATTTTGGCTCCGTTTTCGTACGGCAGGGCGTTTTTGGATATCAACTCGAAGCTGTTCAAGATCTACTCGGCGTGCAAGGATGAGGATGAGATCAAGAAGGCCGAGGAGGCGTGGAGGGAGAGGCTGGAGAAGGAGTATACGGAGAGCAGAGAGGGCGAGTCGGATGATATTTGGACAACTGGAAACACAAATCGGAGACCAGCCATGGATGATTCAGATGAGGATGAAGACGACGAGGAGGAGGAAGATAGCGATGAGGAGGAAGACGGTAGCGACCAAGACGGCAGTGTAGACGGTATCTACCTCGGAACCAAACCACCACCCAAACAGAAACAACCAGCAGCCTCCGACGACGAAGAGGAAGAAGAAGAAGATAGGGACCCGTTCGCCATATCCGACGACAGCGATGACGAAGCCGAGATGGAGGCCATTCGGCGCAAGATTCTCGCATCCAAATCATTCGCCAACCCTGAACCGCCCAAGAAGACGGTGGAGATGATTGCCCGGCCCCAGGGACAGTACAAGCCGGATTCCGATGCCGAGCCGGACTCGGACAACGGAGAGGAGGATGACGAGTTTGACAATATCATTGCGGCCACGCCCGTTACCGATAGGATAGGACTGCAGAAGCTGGAGAAGGAGCGGACGCGGGCCACGGTGACGAGAGGGACCTTCTCGTCTGCTTCCATATCTGCGCCCAGAGGAGGAAGATAGAGGAGATGATGGGTTAAGGATGTTGGCATATTAAGTTGAAAGGGCATTTGACGAAACAAAAAGAATCACACAAACCAGATATGGACTAACATATCATGCATTACTTTCCACTCCATGAATTCATCCAGCTGCCATGCTCAATTCGCCATCCAACGTTTGATTAATTCATCCATGCACCACATGCTTACGTGGTTCTACCATGTCTATATATCCCATCACCAATAGCTGCTGATATATGCAATACTATATCCGCCATCATCCATCTTTTCCCCACAGATACCCATTTTTTATATCCCCGGTACTTTTTTGTACAATCGTGTATGTATGGTGTTACAAGAGGAGGACTATAAGTCCCTTACAGATACCTCCTCTCTCTAATCTCCTCCACAACCTGGATGAGATCGCCTTCCTTGATGTCGTCAAACTCACCACCAAACTCGAGACCGCACTCGGTACCCTTGCGCATCTCCGTAACCTCCTTCTTGCCGTGCTTGACTGAACTGATGGTACCTGTTTGTGATTGATTATTAGCTTGGCCATCAACATAATGAAAAGGTCAGAGAAAAAACTCACCATCATAAACAACCTCTCCCTTCCTCTGCAACCTCACCCGTCCATTCCTCATCACCATTCCGTTCCTGACCTTGACACCCGCAATATTCTTGTACTTCCGTCCCTTGATATTAATAGCAAACACCTGCGCCACCTCGGCCTCGCCCAGCACCTTGAACGAGATCGTGGGGGCCAAGCTCTCGCTCAGCACCTGGCGCACCTCCTCGGTCAGGTTGTAGATGATGTTGTGGTCCATGATCTTGACCTTATTCTCGACCGCCATGCGCTTGATGTGGCCCGGGATCGGGTTGTTGAAGTTGATAATCGTGCTGCCCGACACCGCGGCGTGCTCGACGTCCGACTCGGTGATCTGCCCCGGGCTAGACAGCAGCACGCGCGGCCGCACCTCGTTGCTGCCGATCTCGAGGATCGACGCGCACACGGCCTCGACCGAGCCGTGCACGTCGCCCTTGACGGTGAAGTTGATCATCTTGGGCCCATCTGGCTTCTCCTCCGTCGCCTCGGCACCGTCTTCGCCCTTCTCGGCTTCTTCTGCGGCGAGCCGTTCGGCCTCGCGCTCACGCTTAAGCCTCTCCATCTCTGTGATTTGCTCCATAGCCTCCTCACGCTCCTTCTGCTCGATGCGGTAGTGCACCGCGTTCTTGGCTTTGTCTTCGTTCGGCGCCTGGAGAACCATGTCGCCCGCCTCGGGCGGCTCCTTCCAGCCGAGAATCTCGACGGCTGTACCGGGAGGAGCCTCTTCGACCTCGATACCCGCTTCGTTGCGCAGACTGCGCACCTTGGCGAAGACACGGCCAGCGACAATGAAGTCGCCGGGACGCAGGGTGCCGCGCTTGACAAGCACGGTGGCCACGCGGCCGATGGGCTTGATACTGGACTCGAGAACCCACCCCTCGGCCATGCCGTCGGGCTCGGCGCGGATGTCGAGCATCTCGGACAGGAGAAGGATGTTGTCCTCGAGATCATCCATACCTTGACCGGTCTTGCCGCTGACGCAGACAACCTGGACATCGCCGCCGTAGTCCTCGATCTCAACGCCGTTGGCGGCCAAGTCGGACTTGACGCGCTCAACGTTGGCTTGGTCCTTGTCGATCTTGTTGATGGCCACGATCATAGGCACCTTGGCGGAGCGGGCATGCTTGATGGCCTCGATGGTCTGCGGCTTGACACTGTCGTCGGCGGCGACAACCAGGATGACAATGTCGGTGACGTTGGCGCCGCGCTGTCTCATGGACAGGAAGGCAGCGTGACCGGGTGTGTCAAGGAAGGTAATTTGCTTACCAGAGGACATCTGCACAGAGAAGGCACCAATGTGCTGGGTAATACCACCGTGCTCACCGGCTGCGATGGAAGACTTCCGCAGGAAATCGAGCAAAGTAGTCTTACCGTGATCAACGTGCCCCATGATAGTGACAACCGGTGGCCGTAAGGGTACGGTAGAGGGGTCCTCAGGAGGAGGGCGTGGCCTCAAGTCTTCATCCTCACCAGCATCGACTGTTGGCTCGAAGCCGTACTCTTGGGCAACCAAGGCGGCCGTCTCGCCGGTCATGATGCTATCCTTGGCGATATCTTCAAACCCGAGCTCTCCCAGTTGGGAGATGAACAGCTCTGTCTTCACGCCAAGGGCCATGCCAAGGTTGGCAACGCTGATGAACTCGGGAAGGAGAATAGGAATAGGGCCGGTCTCCTCATACTGGAGCCGCTCCTTCTCAGCCTTCTTGGCCAACCTTTCACGACGCTTATACTCGTACGCCATATCGTCAAAATCGTCGTCTTCGTTGTAGTCGCGCCGCCTACCTCCCTTCTTCTTGGGTTTCTTTTCCTCCTTGATATACCGCGAGGGAATCGGTATCTCTTCCAATGTAACCCTATCGCCTCTTGTCTGTCTTGCATTATCCCTGCCCCTGGGCTTTTCGAAATCTTGGTGCTCCAGCTTCTGTCCTTCCTTCTCCTTAGGCTTTCCTCCGTAGTCGTCAGCCCAATCCCAATCATCCGACATCTGCTTCTTGAACGCCTCGGTGGCCTCCCGAGTGCCCTCGGAAGCCGCCTCGGACTGCACTTGAGATGCTGGTCTGGTTGCATATCGATCTTCAGCCTGCTTCCAAAAGTTGCTACTATCTCCGGGCTCCGAACGTCTTTCTCCCTGAGAAAGGGGAGCAGTCTTGACAAAATCGTTATTATCGGTCAAGCGGTCGTTTCCCACGTTTCCCATGGTGTAACGGCGGGTGAGCCCCGCCCATTGCCCTTCAGTTTCACGCGTAGAATTGGAGTCCGGTGGAGGTGCAAACTTGGATGAAATTGACTGGTAAACCTCACGAGCTGAAGTTCTGGGTGGTGATGGAGGAGGAGGCTGAGTGGAAAATATGTCATCCCATGCGTCTGTATTGTCCGCACGGCGCTCCTCTTCCTCAGCGTTCTGCAAGTCGTCCTTGAGAGAACCCGTCTCTTGGCGTTTCCGTAGATCTTTGGCCGAAGTCTGTCTATCATGGGCAAAGAGACCATCAGCAAGGCTCCTCAGATTCTTTGCGGGAGCCTGAGGCTGGTTCTGAGCATGTCTTTGCTGTAATCGATCCCTGGCTGCTTTCTCGTGGGGAAGGAGTCGTTCTGTCTGGGATTGGCTGGCTGGCTGACTGGAGGTTGAAGAGGCGCCCCAGCTGCTTGTTCCCCAGCTGCTTGTTCCCCATCCTCCACCGGCTGGTTCAGTAGGTTGACTGGGTGTCAAACTAGCGGCTGTAAAAGCATCCCAGTTGCTTTGCCCCGAAGCCCCATCGACTTGTTCACTAGGTTGGCTGGTTGGGCCCGGCTTTGATGGTTCCCCGCTGGAGAGGCTCGATAGGCTGCTGACAGTTGGTTGACTTTGACCTGTTGGGTCTTGTGTCGGTCGGCTGGGAATTGGTTCGCTAGGAGCCGTTTGGCTGGAAGCTGATTGCCTAGGAGCTTGTTGAGGCGGAGGCGCCTGTGCCGGGAAACGTCTTATACCAAAAGGCTCTAATACCTTACGGACAGGAGCCTGGTTTTTTTGAGCTTCGCGCTCGGTTTTGGGTCCCGGCGTTTCTGTTGTAGGTCCTTGACCTGGTTCTTTCGGACGCATGAGCGTCCTGCGCACCACAGGTCCCTGCTGTTCCTTCCGAGGCGGAGCCCCTTTAAACTCGTTCTGTTGACCTTCAGGTAGCCGGCGCAGCGGACGGTCATTCGGGGCGCGTTTGAATGGCGCTGGTTCCAGTTTTCGAGCCGGCTGAGGAGCGGGCTTAGGAGCGACAGCGGCCGCGGCCATGCGTAACAGGCGCTCTCTTGCGGCTTTTTCGTGAGGAAGCAAGCCATAGTCGGCGGGCTTGGGTTGACTCTGTGCGGTTCCCGTTCCGGATGTCGTCTGGGTGGCCGGTGTCGCAGGGGCGGCCGGTTTCCAGGAACCACCCCATCCTCCTCCTCCTCCTCCTCCTCCTTCTCCTCCGGCGCTTGGTGTCGCAGGCTGTTGTTGGGTACCCCAGCTAGGTTTGTCGTCCCACGAAGAGTATACGCGGCGGGTGTTCGGATGGATTCGTTGCTGCTGTTGCTGGCGAAGCTGCCATCTGTGGCGGCAGAGCAGACACACAGAGGAAGTGCTCTGCTTCTGTTTCCAGAGTGGTGGTTGTCTCCATGTTAGCCAACTGACATGAACTGACTTGCTCTACGTCGTTGATGAGCAATGTGCGCATGGAAAACAGCACTTACCTGCAACAATCCGCCCCTCATCATCTTGTTTTATCACAGGGCATAGTTTGCCCAGCAGGACCAGAGAGGAGAAAGTAGCACAAGAGCCTGGCGCGACAGCCAAGGTGGAATTTTGTAACTTACACGGGCGATCCGTTCCGTCCCGCAGTTCGCCAAAGCTTCGTACTGTACTGGTGCTGCAGCGCAGCCAAGCGCTACATAATTAAAGTGGGCCTCTGAGCTAGCTGATAAGATAAAGAAGCTACATGTACTGTGTACGTATGCGGAAATAGCGAGGGGCAGCTGTCCGGCAGGCAATTTGAGAAGCGGGTTAGGGTTAAAGCAGTGCTTTTGACCAGAGGTAGCTTCAGGGGCTTACAAACAATACAGGTACGTACCCCTCGAAGCTTCCCCCTGACGTGGACCCTTTTGACCTCTCCAGAAATTTGGCCCCAACCGACGCTTCCTTCTCAACGAAGCTGCCAACTTTTCACTTTCTCCCCATCTCTTCACCGTCTCTTGACTCTTTTCTTTCATCTCCTTGAGGGCCCCCTCCTCAAGTTTCCAATTCATCACACCTAAACCGTCGCCAAAACATGGCGCCCAAGAAAACCAGCAAAGGAGCACGCGGCGGCGGCGGCGGCACCAGCAGCTCCGGCTCCGGCGGTGCTCTCGAACCGCCCAAACCCTTCCGCATCGCCCCGGACTCGCTCAAACCCTTCACCTCATCCCTCTCCAAGAAACACGTCTACATCGCGCACGTCGACCAGAAGCCGGCCTCCTTCAAGCGCAAGATCTTCTCGGTGCCGATCATGCTCAACGCCGCCGTCTTCGCCCTCTTCCTGTGGCGAATGTGGTACATCATCCCCTACTACGTAGCGCTTTTGTCTTCCTCGTTCCTGGGCTACGAGAACTCGACGACGATCCGCATGGCCGACCTGACGTACCGACAATTCTTCGCGGTGGCCGGCCGGCGCACGCTCACCTTCTTGTTCGACTTTCTGATGGCCGTGTTCGTCTGGCCGTGGCCCATCGAGTTCGTGTTCGGGCGCAAGCACGGCAGCCCCGTGTCGTGGCGGACCGCGGTCGGGTTCCGCGACAAGGAGATCTACGTGCGCCGGTCGCGGTCGTGGGACACGCAGGTTTATGGAGTGGACATCTTTTCGGAGAAGCCCCAGGGCAACGAGGCGCGCGAGATTTTGTGGGGAATGGTCCGCAATGCGACCTCCCCCATGCTGCTGCAGGAGAAGACGGGATACCTGACCATGAACGGGGACTGGGACTTGGACTGGAAGGCCATGGTCAAGGCGACTACGTTGGTGGATAAGAAGGAGATCCCCCTGGACGCGTTCAGGACGCTGGTGCTTTGCCACCATGACAAGTTCGGGTGGGTTGCTAATGACATGAATGCCTCCGGGGAGAATGCGCAGGAGGATGAGCGCAGGAGACAGGTTTTTGCGTTCCGTGATGCGCTGGCGGCTATTGGAAAGGAGAACCTCTTCTATCGCTGGATCGAGGTCATTCAGTTTGAGACCCAGCAGGGCGGCTTTACGCAGGAGAGGCAGCTCAAGGTGGCGCAGCAGATCAGGGATCTCTTTAAGGAGAACGGAGTGGACTTTGATGAGTTCTGGAAGGAGGCTGTTGGGTCGGATCCTTCAGTTGGGTTATAATGACCGATACAAAAACGGGGAAGAGAGGAGGGGAAAAAGCAACGGCATATACATCACCGGCTGAGTAGACGGGAACAAGGACATATTTTACGAGGAACATACAGATCATAATGCATATACAGGTATACGGGGCTGGACGAATAAAAGGCACCAGAAGAACCCAATAAATTACCGCTGCACGTTCGCTGCGGTCTATGGAAAGCGAAGAAGAGACCATGAAAAAAAGAGGATTCAAGACACCACCACCCTCATTGCCTTTATTTCTTGCTGCTCTTGGCTTTCTTCTGAGGACCAAGGGCGGCCTCGCGCCTCTTAGCCTCCTTAGCCTCGAACTGTTCCCTCTTGAGCTTCTCCTGGGCTTCGCGCTCTTCCTTCTCGGCCTATCAAAACCGAAATCTGTTAGCATCATGTCCCGTCTCATATACGAATGGAGCAACAACAACAAAATATGCCAACATACCTGTTTCCTAGCAGCCTCCTGCTCTCTCTTCTCACGAATGAGCCTCAACCTAGCGAGATCGGCCTTGGCCTGATCCGTCTTGCCGGCCTCATGAAGCTTCTGATATCTCTCCTTCGCCGCAGCCGCCGCAGCCGCTTCACGCTCCTTCCTATTGCCGGGGGCCGAGTCCGCTATGCTGAGCTTCTTGACGCCAGCGGCAGCCTCATCATCCGATTCCTCCGCCTTGGCGACGGGCTTCTTGGTCTGGTTGCGCGCAGCCTTAGAGTGGTTGGGGTTGGCGAGCATGGGCGCGTCCTTGTCGTCCTCGCTCTCCTCCTCCGAGTCGCTGGGCGGGAGGTCGCCAACCTGCACGGCGGCGGCCTTGGCGCGCGCGATGGCTGCCTCCTTCTTCGCCTTCTTTTGCGCCTTGAGCTCCTCGCGGGTCAGCTCAGCCTTGGGGGCCTTGCCAGAGGAGGGGCCGGCCTCGTCCTCGGAAGACTCCTCCTCCTCGGATTCTTCCTCGGATTCGGAGTCCTTGTTCTTGGCGCCGCCGGCGCTCCACATGCTGACTTCGTTGCCATCGGCGTCGAGGGGGCGAAGGTCGCGGGAGAAATGGTGGCCACCTGGGAGGGGGGTTGGTGGTTAGCAAGTCATTTTTTTTTTCTAGTTTTTTTTTGCAGTAGTTGGGAAGAATACTGCCGCGGCAGTCTCTTTATGGTAACATACCTCCACGAGTGTACTTCTTGAACTTGCCGCCGCGTCCACGTCCAGCTGGGCCAGTACCGCCTGCCATTTTGTCTTTGGTCTTTGGGGGTGTAGGTTGGTTTGGTTTGAAAAGTTGGTGATCGACGGTGTTCCGGTCGAGTGTCGTGGTATTTATGAAATTCGTTCGAATCGCGCGACGAGTCGTGGAGATTGGTGTAACTGGAAGTCGAGATCTACAACAATGCAACAGAACGGCACAGCCTTTTCCTCGAGTTTGTCGCAGAAAGTTAATGGGGACTTCCTGGAAGAGCATCCACCTCAGGGGACTCTGGCAGGCTACTGTAGCAGCTGAGATGCCCCGCATTAGGCAGGTACGAAAGTACATGCAAGAGACTGCGACGTGGGCTTACCCAGCCGACTATCGGCAAACCATTATTGGTTAGGTCCCTTATCGCCCCATGACTCCACCGCAACCTCCAGGGCCCGTGGCTCAATTCTTGCTTGAGGCGGTGCAACCCAGTAGGAACAGGAGTGGCTTGCGCGTGCTTTAAAAGTCTCGAGAGCGGGCCGAAATTTTTAGGATTTCTTTTTTCTTCTTTTTCTCTTCTTCACAACACATAAAACATATGTTCCTTCGTATTCACTCCGGTTTCCGTCTACTGCAATGACATTCTGGAGGGGAAAGCGGAGGATAGAAGAGAATTATCAAGCTCTTACCCTCTACCTTTGTTCTTCTCTGTCGAGGAGTAGAGAAATATTTTGCCTGGGACATTTCCACACACCAAAACTCGGGTTTTTCGGTGTGTTTACCTATCATTAACTTACCTACGCACGTTTATCTGTCGTGAAGCTATTATCACTGACGTGCGCATGGTGAACCAAATGGGCTCATGATCTGGAAGAATGCATTTGTCTTGATGAATATTTGTACTGTAGTCTTGAGGTCTGAACGTTCATGCCCGTTGCGCTCGTGCACATTATAGAATCGCGAGATGCAACCGGCGAACTGTCGGTTTTGGGTGCCCTCTGAGTCGGATGAAAACTTCAGCGAACGGTCATGTCGGTCCCTTTGATGGAGGTGCCCATGGTACATGTATCACAAGCTGTTTCACGACGCTTCTAGAGACCGAGGAAGGCTTCTGTTATCACAGACACGACGTAAGGCTAGCCTCGCTCAATTCTACAACTGCCATAACTTCATTTGCCAATTTTTTTTCTAACCAGTCCATCAACGCCTTCCCTTTGGTGAAAATCGAACATTTTCAAGGTGAATCTTTGCTTCGTCGGGCTTTCTCCCTCTCAGCAATTTCGCTTTTAGAACCCACATGCCAAAAACATACACCACACCAACATGGCTTCAACCACCAGCGTAGCCTCAAATTGAACAGAGAAACCCCAGCAATACGTTATCAGCAACATCATCGTCATGACCACCGCACAGTACTTACATAGAAGCTCACATATGCCGGGCAACTGACTGGGAAAACGTAGGAAAACAAGTATTTTGAGTTCCACAAGGCAACTCTCAACTACCCAACTTGACAACTTGATAACCACTACTCTAGTTCCATCCGTCTCTCAAGCTTCTCAACTCCCGACACATAACATCCTTGGTTTAGTGACCCTCCCTTTCCAGAGCCTCCAACTCCTTAATCACGGAACCCTTGGTGGCGATCTTCTTCAACTGGGTATCCTCCAACTTCTCGCCACCAGCATGTCTCATCTCGAGATCCTCAATGGCGCGGATCTTCTTCTGAAGAGACCTGATCTTCTTGGCATCGGCGCTCTGGGCAGCCGCTGCGGCGGCGTCAACGACCGGGGCAGCCTGCTGAGCAGGAGCATTAGACTGGCGCACGTTCGAGCGGCTGCGGTGGTTGTTCTGGGTGCGGACAGCCAGGTTGTTGCTGCGCGACTGACTGCGCGAGTGGTGACGCTGGTGGTTGCGATCGGGGCTGCGGCCGTCGACAGACTCGCGGGGAGGGGCAAGACCGCCCTCGTTAGGGGTAGTCGCGCCCTCGCCCGCCTGGCCCTCCTTGGCCTTCTTGTTACGCTTCTTCTTGTTCTTCAGGGCAGTCTTGGACAAGTTCTCATCGTCCACAACGGCGCCGGGAACAGAAGGTCTCCCCGGCTCGGCAAACTCGGCGCCAGGAATCTGACGGCGCGGGCGGCCAAACCCATTAGGACCGACCTGAGGCACGCCGTTGCTAACCGAGTGGGCAGCACCTCCCTCATCCTCACGCTTGAAGTGAAGAGGAGTGGAAGAGCCACGGGCGCCGGGCGGGCGGTAAGCACCGACAGGCTTAGAAGGCGTCTTGACAGTGCCAAGGTAGGCCAAAGCCGAGGGGTGAGGAGTGGGCACGGGGTGCAGCGGGTCAACGTTGGGAAGGTTGGCAGCAGGAACAGGGCGCCAGATGACGTTGTACAGCTCAACCATGTCCTCGTTGTACATGATACCGCCACCAACGTGCCAGAGCTTGATGCCGTTATCGACACGAAGACGGGGAGATGTGGTGGCCGTCAAGATGAAACGGCTGTCGGGAGACCAGGTGCAGACACTAGGGTTACCGCTTTCGATGGTAGTGATCTTGCGATAATCCTTCTCGAGGTCGTAAACATCGATCTGGCCAGCCAAGTTACCGAAACCGGCAACCAAGGCGAACCGGCCAGTAGGCGAGAAGATGATGGTGTTACGGGGGCCAAGAGGGAAGGAGTGGGTGGCGACGGCGCGGTGGTTGAAGATGGTGGTCTTCGCGGGCATGTAGCCGTATACGACACCGAACTCCTTGGAGTTGGGGGACCACGACACGTCGTGGATAGGGCCCTCCTTGTCAAGAGTGACGCGAGCGTCGAACGAGCCGTTGGCGCTCAGGAGGTACATGTTGGTCTCGCCGTAGTAGCTCTTGTTGGACTTGTCAACCTCTGTTTGCGCCAGCACAATCAGAGCAGTTCCGAGCTGGTTCCACTTGAGCTGGACCTTGTCGGCCTTGAAGAAGGTCTTTTGCGAAATCGGGCTGGTGAACTGGGGAACGTTGAAGACCTTGACGGAGGCGGGGTGTCCCTGTAACCAAGAGTTAGACGATGATATAGCAAAGTGTAATGCATACGGAACAAGTAACGTACCTTGCGCTCTGGGACGAAGACGGCAACGTTCTGGTTCTTGCCGGGCGCGAGGGCAAAGTCGGAGACGCCCTCAACGCGCAGCTTGTTCCACACGGTACCGAGGTCGTTGCTGTTGTAGAACTGGACCTCGTTGGTGACGATGCGCGCGCAGAAGCGCTCATCCTCCGTGTACTGCAGGTTCCAGCCATTAGCAGACTTTTGGACGAACTTGCCAATGGGCTGCTTCTCAGCATCATCGGCGAGCTCCTCGATGGTGCGCCAGATCTTGAGGTTCTTGGTAGCATCGCCATTCTCATCCTTGGCGGGGCGCTCCCAGGTGCTCAAGTAGGTACCGTGGGGGGAGAAGCTGAGATCGTAGACGGCAGGGATGGGCAGCGAAGTCAAGACGTGGCCGACGGACGCGTCGACGATGACGACGCCCTCGTTAGTGGCGTAGGCAAAGTAGCGGCCGCATCCCGAGTAGACACAGCACCGGAGGTTCCCTTCGGGCTGGGTGAATCCAGGAAGAGCTTCGTAGACAGGGTCGGCATCAAAGACGCCGATGGCCTTCTGGGTTCGGTAGGCGAACTGCAACGGACTGGCCATGACTAGCGAAAGTCACAGGTGATCGCGGTGTGCAGAAAGCGGTGTAGGATTCGTTTCGTTACCTGGCTCCTTTTCCCGGGGGACTGGAGTCGTCGCTGCGAGCAAGAGGCGGACCTTTTTTTTTCGATGTTCGAAACGGGTCACGCTTGGTGTCGAAGCTGCGAGAGGCGGAGCTCGTAAGCTTTGGTTGTGTGTTGGCGAAAGCGGAGTTGGGAGAGTATCGGTCTGGCGCAACACAACAATGGTGATTGCGCAAAGGTAGAAACTCGACTAGCAGAAGCCGAGCAGAATTCGACAGTGCAACACAAAGCGACGCTTGTTTGCTGAGTCCTAGGTGGTGGTGGAAAGCGACTCAGGGACGGGGGGGCGGGAGGCGGAAGATATCAGATCTTGAATCGCAGGCTGCCAACGAAGGGAGACCGTGACGATGGGACAACAATGCGATGTTGCTTTGGACGACGGCGAGGAACAAAGGGCACACGCCGTGGTGGAGATCCAAGAAGAATAAAATCGACCGAATTCAGGAACGGGAACGATGGAGAAGAGAAGCACCCTCAGGGAAGGAATTGGCAAAGGCGGTGCGAGTGTGGTTGACGGGGGGGAGGGAGTGGGAAGAGGGAGAGGAAAAGAGAGGGGGGAGGTGGGTTAGGAGAAAGGGAGGAAAAGTAGGACGATGGAGAATGGCAGAGAAGGACGCGAAGAAAGTTACGATACGGGGGCGGTTCCACAGGTATTGTGGTTTCGGTTTTTTTGGTTTTTTATTTCTTACCTACATAAACTTTTTTTTTCACCATCTCACTGCAGCATCCATGATATTCAATTGGGCATTGGCACGGGCATGCACTGGGCCACCCGACCAGCAGACGGGAGATGCATGCTTTCGCGGCCGTTGTCCGTTCGCTGATTCAGACCTCAGTCTCACTGACCTCCAGATTCAGCGGAGGCCGGGACCTCGAGGGGACCGAACATCAAACGGCGCAGCCCCGCCGTGGGGCCGTGTTCCCTTCAAACTTTCGGTGACATTGGGTGACAGTCGTTAGTGACGGTACCCGTAAGCTCCGTAGGGACCAGCGCGAGCCTATCAGATGTTAACGCGCCCTATCGCGGCGGCCAGCCGATCTCCAACATCTCCAACAGGTTGCGGCCCCCGGAGTTCTAGGCTTTGTTGTCCCTTGTTTGAGCCGCAGCACGGGCCAGTCAGCGGCGCGCCAAGTCACGGCCAAGGCCCCGCCCGATTCGCCTTGTCAACGTCAACGTCAAACGACCCGTAGAACCCCGACGAGGCCGGGGGGCAACCTCCACCTCTTGTTCTTTGTTTAGACCTGCAAGAGGTATCTCCTAACAGAGGTCATCCATTCCCTCGATGCTCCATCGCGCTGAGGCGGTCCAGGGCCAACTTGAAGTTACAAGTGACACTACCACCTTCAGCTTGGTCGTTCCTGAAGGAACCCTTTCATAGTGATGCACACGCCCTCACTTCCACTTCCACTTTCCCTGCCAAGTGGAAGGTAGGTAGTCATGACTCCCTTGGTGGCCGATGCTGTCCTGCATGTTATACGCACAGACGTTCAAGCCATCTGATACACGTCGTATACCAAAGAGCCATTGTACGGTACTCTTCGTCTCTTCGCTACCTTAGGTATTATACAGACGATCCTGCCATGCGGTCTATCTCGTTTGCTTTCTATGTCTTCCGCTTGCCTACCGTATACATCTGACCTTTTTGTTGTTTCCTTCCTTGTTTCTATCTCCCCAAAATACTGTTTCCCAATATGAGAGATGGCAGTTGTCTCCAGCTTTAGTCACAGCATACATACAAACACTCTTGTTGGAGCAATCTGTCCATGAGCAATTGATGGGTGGAATAGTTCTGGTGTTGCAGGCGCGCCAAAAATTGATCATGGATCGTGACATGACAAAACAGACACTTTCCAGTTTCTCCATCAAGTGGAAGTTCTGCCCTTGGTGACCGTCGATGGTGGTGCCTAACTGAAAGACATGAACACCGCACCATATCTGTTAGTCATGGGAAGAACGGGAAGAGCTGTACGAATGACGGCTTCTCGAAGGCAAGTGCGAACTGCTGTACCCAGAGGTAGGCAGGGGCATGGAGGGCTAAACCGTCTCGGTGCCGATGTCCCAACCGCACCTTCCTCGTTGCGGGGAGAACGGCATTTGGGTTTGGGATCATGAGGTGCAACTTCCACTTGCTGTTCTTTGGGGTTCCAATGTTAATTTCAGTTCTTCAAAGGAGCCTCCTTGCTTTCCAATCTTTGGAGCAACAAACCTTCGCTGTTGTTCGTCTCAGCAACATCATTCTCCATATTCTTCCAAAGAACATCACTTAGACGCACTCCATCGGCCCAGGTATGTCCTTCTTCGTCGCCATGTTAGAGTTTCAATGGGCATATTATTGACTTGGCCGACCAAGGTTATCTGTTCTCGGTATTCCTTATCGCTACCATTGGAGTCTCGTTCATGTGCAAACTCGGAACTGCGCATTCCAGGAGTGAGTGTCACGGATCTTGATGCCGCATCTTCACTTTGGAGGTTTGTTAGCAGACAGCATGGTTTTCTGAACATCTTCGCCTTGATATAGGTGTTCTTGGTTAGTTTACGTCCAAGCCAAGACGGGGGTTCAGATCATTCGAAAGGTCGAACAGGCTGAGAATCGAAACGAGTCAATACGTTGCCAAAGTTTCCGGTTAGGTAACTTCGACTTACAGCTCTGCGGCCAGCAGCAGACTTCCAGCGGCGACAACAAGACACCGTATCTGGGGCGGGAGGAAACAGATATACAAGCAGTTGTGTCACCCGCGTCCTCTGTCAGCGTGCCGGTGGTTCGGCACGGGGTTTTTGACGGACCTTGTAAGTCGCCCGGAGCCGTTCCCTAGGTGACCGGAAACTGAGGGAAATCCCCCCTTCACCTCCAGGCATCCGCCTTTGCCACGTTTGCGCCAGCTTTCCATCGACCGTCTTTGCTTGCATCTTCCTCCTCACTACCCCGCCACAAAACCAAACCTTCACTTAAAACTTTTTCAACTAATATCGACCCGCAGCATCGCAACTTAACCACACTTTACTGAAGCCGTCAAGGAGTTGACGTATTCAAATCCCCAAGCTCCCCAAGACACACCAAAGTCGTAATGGAGTCCTCTCGTGCATCGGACAGGCTTAAGGAATCCTGTGGTTGTCCTGCAGAGGTGACGCCTCTTCGCGTCCCGCGGTCCCGCAGCAGAGAGCAGACGCCGCCCTCGAGCGACAATTCTGACCCCGAAGACGAAATCAGCGACACTAATAGTAACACTAACAGTACAGATAATGTCTGGGTCGATGTTGACGAGTTTTTTTCCGCGGCGCCGGTCACTTCACCGACCCGAGGCGTCGATGAGCTTGTTAACATTGGAATGACCCGCCTTCCGGCTCCTCAACCCTCTGTCGAACACGATGAGAACAGAACGAACACTCCCAACAGCGAGGGGCGCACTAGGATTCCAATCAGCCTGCGATCAAAAGGTCCTAAGAGTAACGCCGATCTGGGTGGCTATTATTTCAGACAGGTCATGCACCTCCTTGAGAAGAAGCACCAGGACATCATGTTCTATGAAGAAGTTGAGAACCACAGCATCATGCATCTGGATTGGGCAAGCCAAGTTGGCGACATCCAAGAGACCGAAGATTCCCGCAACGACAAGTCGGAGGAGGGAACTGGCCTTGCGTCTAAACTGGAGGTGAGTGCCGCAATCAAGTCAACGAGTTTCTGCTGTCACGCAGCCTTGGCCCATCTGGGGTTACTTGCTAACATCTTCTCCTTGACAGTGGGGCAAAACCATGTTCTTCGGTGACTGGTTGTATACCGACAACGGCCAGCGAGAGTATTACATGGAGATTCAGATCAAACACGTCTCTGGTGATGATGACGAAGTCATCAGGAACTTGGGAATGAACCCTAACGAAGTTTGGATTGGTATGGGATGGGTGAAGGACATTCCGGGCCAGGGTGGTGACAAGCGCTCGCTTTCTTCAAACAGCAGCAAAGTGTCTGCTATCCAGCCTAAGAAGCTTCTCCTCTCCTCACTTGCCGGCACCCATTCTGGATTTCCTCGTAGTCCCTCGGAGGAGCGTGACAACGAGGAGCTTGAAGACATTGCGACACTGGCCTTGACTAATATGAGCAGGCCTAGACCTTTGCCGACTACTCCTACCAACACCTCGTCGTCTGCAAGCAACAATCATGGAGATGCCACCCCAAAGACTGTCCACGTCGGATCCGAAGATATCGACCTCCGCGATCCCACTGCCGCTGTCAACTCTCCCTCTAGTTCCCGTTGGACTCCACTCAACTTGTCTGGTAGAATGGCAGCCACCTCCAAGTCCGAACATGACGTTGCGGCCGGCCCGTCGACAGATCAAGCTCCTCCATCACCGCGTCCAGGTTTTGCGCTCCGCTTCGGTTCAAGATCCCCCCAGCCCGACTCTGATCGCCCAGTCGGCACAGGTATTCCCCGCAGCAAGCCCCTTGTTCCTCATAGCACCAGCTTTGACAGCATCGATGATGAGGGCGACACCATTATGAGCGATGACATTGTAGGCGAAGCCGGAGATAACGGCGGAGGCGAAACCTATGAAGGCGACACTACCTTAAGCGAGATCGTCATTCCCGGGACTCCCTCGCGTTCACCATCCCCTCCCTCTTCTCCCATCAAGTACTCGCCCGACAGCGATCAAGGCCAAACAGCCGAGTTCTCAGTCTCCAAGGAGAACCAGAACCCTCGGGACACTCGTCACTCGCTTAGGGATTCCATTACTCCCGGTCACGACACCCTCAACCGCCACTGCACTCCAGATTTGGACGGTTCCTTTGCCGCCCGCAAGAAGCGCTCATCTATCTACACCGTCCGCGTCGTCGCCTTCTCCACGGAGCATTCCCAAAACGAGAACGGCTTCAGCGGACCCCCTTCTTCGCAGCGACACGCCACCCTGCTCGGTCACGGCGGATGGGTTTGCCCGCCCTTTGAGGAGCGCGTGGCCAAGTGGATGGCTGATAATGGCCATTTGCCCCTTAGCTGCTCCGCCATTCCGGAGCACGAGAAAAAGCAGCACAACAACCCGCCGCAGACACTCTGCCGTGCGCTGCCGGTCATGTTTGACTGGTCCGTCGACGACCCGCCGAGGTACTACGGCGAGCCGGCGCCCGTGTGGTGGGAGCTCGGCGACCCGTGCCTTGAGGACGTGTACTGGATGGTCTGGCAGATGTTGAGCGGCAAGCAGTTCATCGGTTTCAAACGCGGCACCGGATTCGGCTTCCCTAGAACGCATACCAGTGGGGATGACGCGCTCTTGGAGAGATGCCCGTTCAAGAGTCCGAGCGGAGAGGCTGGAGTGGGAAGTCTGGTCAAGGGTGAGGAGATCAGGCTGAAAAAGATGAGTGAGGATGCGGAGAAAGCGTTATGGGAGGCCATGGTGAACCTTAAGGGGGGCGAGGAGTAGATGACGAGAGCTGGAGAGGTAAGAAGGGGGGAGTGAGGCTTTTGTTTGGCAAAGAGAGGATGTTGTAAACCCTTTCTTTTCGGTCCATGCCTTACAAGCCTGGTTTTGCCTACCTAGGGCCCTTTACTGGCTCTGTTATGCATTACAAGTGCACGCAGAGCATTGGGGTCTAGTCTGGCTGCGATTCTTTCCACCCCTTCTGTTATTTCCTTTCTTGGCAGGGTTCTTTTGCTGTTTCTGTTTCTTCCTTTTCTTTATGAGCGAAGGTCAGGCGTCACGGACACTCCGTACGGGCAGGTCAGATGGATATTCACACGGGGTATTAGGCTCAGATTTGGGCTAGATGCTTCTTGAAGGGTTTGCTATTACAAAACTTGGGAGTTACGAAGCCATCAAGGAGCGGAACTTCTGGGATTAAGGACTAGTACTTTGCATCTGTGTTTGGAGTTTCCAGAAGGGATGGATAACATCAGTTTAAGCGTCAGGCTAGAAAGTAGAAACTGTAGTAGTAATGTGTTATTATTGTCTAAACAAAAAGGTCTCGAGCAAGAGGAGGAAAAGTCATTCTCCGCTGTGCCCAATGATTTCGTTTGGACTTCGAAGTAGCATAGTTAAAACAAACCATCATCTGCACTGTAAAATTAAGCCTGCACTAACTGACGGTTCTTTGTGAATGCTCTCTTGCCAATGAGGAAAACGCATCGCTCCCAACGAAACTCTCCATTAACACTCTTACAAGAAATCCAGCCTCAACATTGCAACTCCAAGTCGTCTCTCAATCCTCACAGCCTTACTGCCTACCGGACTCCTCGCCAAAACCGTCGAACAGGGTTCTTTGTCCACTTACCGCAGGTTCGTCCCGTAACCCGTTGGTCGTTGTTGTCCCCTGTGCCCTGCGAACTATTTACCCCCGAGTGCAACACCCATGTTTTGTTTACTTTCACTTTGGGGTCCCCTGCTTGATTGTGCAACAACATAACAAAAACAAACAGTAGCTTGTCGACAAAGAAAGAGATGGGCAACACCAGTATAGTGAGATATCGTGGTGAGACGGAACGAAGGTTTTTCAAAAGAAAAGAAGATATATAGTCCATGGTTAGTTAGAAAGGTCGTTTGATTTCAACGTTTGTGCATTGTCTTGCAGCTGTACCTACACTACAGTACAGAAAGTGAGTACCTACCTATAGGGAGATGAGTCACTATCTATATAGCTAGGCTGTGACAAGTAAGAGTGTTAGTGCCTTATCAGAGCACCTGCCTACCTGCCTTAGTTCATGCTTGGCATCGCATCGCATGGAGTTCTTGCCGGCCGGTACGGTACCTACCTTAGCGTAGTGTAAGTCATGACGTCACTCGTCACCTCATCCCATCCACGTTCCAACTTTGGTGACCAAAGTCCAGTCCAAAACACCATGGTAGTTAGAGTCGTGATAGTATAGTTTGACACGGGGCACAAGACGACGCCGTAATCTATCCATCCAACCATTCCTTCCATACTTCGTTTCAAAAGTCTGCCCCCATTCCAGCCCTTTTACCGCGGGTGATCTGATCTGGTCATGCCGGAGCGAGGCATGCATCAGGCACGAACGAACGAACCGCCCTCCCGTCTCAGAAAATGCAGTTCCCCGTCTCTTTTAACAATCGAACCATCAACACATGAAAAAGCCAATATCAACTACGGAATTACAGAATCTGAGACAAATGATTCCGAACTTGGAGATAGATACTAGAGGACAATTCCTGAACACAGAGAAACTAGCAACCGTGACTGCTGTTCGACGGACGGCCGGCGGCCGGCAGTTCTGAGTGACCTTTTAGGAGGAGAGCGTCAACTGTCAACGACGATTGGCGCAGGTACGCGGTTTTGAGTTTGGAAACAACCTCATGGGGCTTCTTGATGCAGGTATCCATTGGTGAGTAGGCCACAGCGTTGTAATGTGGTGTTTGGTGTTGTGTTCAGTTGTGTGTCGGAAGGTTGCCGAGATGTGGTGTTGCGCTTCGCGTTCCTGGTCCTATCAGTGTAAGGTTGGTTTGGTTGGTTCCAACTTACTATTGAACGTTGTTGGTTAGGAAGTGTTTTATTGAGGAAGAAACTTCTTGCTTCTTTTCTGACACCATAGCTTGTCGAAAGGAAGATTTGGATGGTAAGATTTGGCTTCGGCAGACTGTCATCAAAACACCACCAAGTCCATGGACAACTCCCGAATATAAAGGGTCACCTTGGTATACATACAGCCTTGCAGCTCGGGGTCCCGTCGTACTGGATTATCAGATAATCTACACTACAGTATACAATAGCTTTGAAACCACCAAGGCATCGTGTGATCGTCAACCCGCCGCCCATGTGTCCCATGTGCCAGATCGGATGAGCAAGGGGGAGAGCGGCGGTGATTTACTCTCCCTCGTGGGCAGGACAAGAGTTCCATGTGGTCGGGAGCAAGTATACTGTATGCGTGCGTCAGGGTGATAGATGTACATAGTGTGCGTGGACGGCAGCATGATGGTTCTGAGATTACAGTAGATACGGGAACATGGAAGAATAAATACTTCCCATGTCTCCTAGTGCACCAGGTTGTATTTAAACGGAAGCACACCCCCCATTGGAGATCAGACAGACCCCCCTCCCCCTCTTCCTTTCTTGCAATCACTGCAGTAAGGGATCATGGGGGCCACTGTGTATGTGGTTGTAACGGCATCCGCAGGACATGCTCATACGGTACTGCACAACCCCAACGGTTGGGCTCACCTGTTCAACCCGCCCGCACTCGATCGGGCTATGATCGTCGGCAAAGTGTGGCGAGTGAACTGGGGCGAAAGGCCAAGAGGGCAGAGGGGCTGAGGGGCAGAGAATGTACTGGTACATCAAGCTCTTTTCATAACCCCTCGTTATCAACGAGAGGCGGGGAAAAAGAAGCTGCGAGAGGTTTGTGCGAGATGTCGATGTAATACTTCCACTTGGAGAACCTCCCCCTGCCCTACCTCCCCCCTCCCCTACTGCACTACAGTAGTGTACCAGCCTGCGTACCTCCCTGCCTTAACCTGCGCTGCACCGCTCTGCAGACGCTTCTTCCCGTATCACATTCTACCCCGGCCCGGCGGACTGGAGGGAGGAGGAGGAGGAGGGGGGACTGACAGAAACCGGCATCTTCAGGGTCCATTGTGCGTGTGGAATGAAATTCGCATTCGGTTCTGCCGGCAAAGTGCAGACGGTAAAACCACAACGGGACGGACCTTGTGTTGATGTCAGCTCAGACGGCGAAGTCGGTATCCGTCGTCCGCGTTCTTTGAAACCTTAAGATTTCGGTGCTTCCGTTCGGGAGCTATCAGAAACAATGGTGGCCCATGCAATCCCCGATGTCGAACAACGCACAAGTGGTATGTATAATGCGTTATGTCCGTGGCCTGCTTCCGTTTGCATTGCCGTTATATGCGGTCCGGTAGTATCTGGCATCTAATATCGGACGAGGACGAGATAGGTCATGGGAATCGGCATGCCTAAACCCCAAGTAACTCGTGGAGTTGTAGGGGGGTAGTCGGAGGTTGAACACTTACTACAGATAGAGGAGGCGAGAGAGTGAGACACAGCCACAAGCCACAACGGACATTGTGCATGCTCATGCCTCCACCCTCCAACAACATCTCGTCCAGAAATCCCCACGCGGACAAAACTCTTGTACGACCAAGACTAGAAACGAATCTTCCTATCCGCCGAGCCGCCCAAAAAATGGGACGGTCTGGAACTGGATGAGCTTTGGAGTAGGACAGCAGACGCCTCCCTTTCCCCCACTTCCCCATTGCAGATTCAGAGGCCTCCCAGTCTGGTGTTGATCGATTTAAAGCGATCTTCTCATGTACTGTGGGGGATTCATTCGGTTATAGTTACCGTCTGGTAGAATAGGAGGATGGCGACTGACGACGCTGAAGGAAGAAGAAGAAGAATGTATTTTACGACTACGTTCTACCAGTACATGATAATAAATCGTACCCGCGACGGCGGCAGGGCAGAGGTATAAAAAGCAAGCAAAAAGTTCTATGGGTTAGGCTCTAGTTTGGCCGGGAACGGAAAAACCTTTCCATCTTTAAGTTGGCGTACGCGTTAGCCGGTAAGGGAGAGCGTCCCTCGTTATTATTAGTCGTTACGTATTTAGTAGAATTCCGCGAGGATAGTAGCGTCGTATAAACCGACCGTCTCCCTACGGCGGGAGTGTAGGGTAAGTAAGCCGGTACTAAGAAGGGGGAGTAGGAGGACGAAGGGGATAGGTTCGTCGTTAAGGTCGTCAGGTTTGGGTCGGGGGGCCCGTATACCGAAGAGGCGGCCGTCGGTAGTAGTAGTAATTCCGGTAAATCTTTTGTCCTTTAGGGCGCAGAGCCGGGTAAGGAAGGTAGCGTAACTAGTGCCGAAGGCGTAAAGGGAATTATTAGTAGCGCGGGGGTTACGGTACGTAATTAGAGGGTATTCGAAGAAGTGGCCTTTCTCGTATAGCCGGCCGTAGGCGTAAGTACGGAAGGATTTAACTAAGTAGTTAAACTGGGTATAATAGGAGTAGAAGTCCTAGTAACTTGTACATTCGCCGACCTATTTCGCAAGGTATTTCCGGGGTAAGCGGAAGTAATATCACGGGGCAAAGCGGATGGTAGGGGGTAGGTTGGATATGCGTAGTTGTACGAGGAGAGGAGAAGAGAGGTGTGCGCAGGTCTGGCGATATAGGGCAAGGTACGAAGGCTATACTTAGAGCCGGGATTAGCGTACGTATATATGCACGTGATGTGCTATTAGCCAATAGTAGTAATAGTATAGCACGAAGTTTAATTACCTATAGTAAGAGCCGTATATATATTAAGTACAATTATAGGTAATCCTATAATACTACCTCCCTATAAAAGAAGCTCTATAATTTCAAAAACTATATATATATAAAATAATAGATTACGTTCTTTAATTTCCGTTTTTCAATTCCTTTACCCGTAGATAGGATCCTCCGCTTTCGAACTCCCCTACTCGTAACTTCCGGGTCTTCCTTATATTCCTAATCTCCTCCGTTATTTAATTATCGTTACCCTATTAGTAGGTCCCCGCTTTTAGTTTATCCTCTACGTTCTTCGTAAGGAGCTTTTTCCTTTACTATATTTCTAATAAATTTTTAAAAATTTTACTAAATACTTTGTCCAATTTCTTTATATCCTCCGCGGATAGTG